CGACATCATTCGTGCCCACCACACTACCCTCTTAGCTCTTTATCTAAAATGCCGCCCTCGACGGCCAATAGTGCCGTCTAATAGCACTAGAGGACCCCTAAGTTAGGAACACGGCCTGATCGGAGGCTACGGACCTTGCAATACCTGCATAAAAACTGGATAGGGTCTAGGCAGAGGTTCTTACGACGTTTAAGGAAGCGAGTTGGAATCCAGCCAAAGGCGTTGAGCCGACACCTGCAGGCCGTATAATGCCGTGTCCAATAACTATCGTCGGCCACCATCCCGCAATCTCATGACCGTGCTCGCATACGAGTTAACGCTCACCTCTAACATCTCAATAGCGCCAAAGAAAAATATAATCGGTTCTAATTGCGACGCCGCTTGATATGAGCGCATAGTATCGGAGGATAATAGGTTCGGAATCGGAGGACAAGGTTTAACCCCTCAACGGCGCTGCTAATAGTGCACCCCTAAGCAATAGGTGGCGTCTCGCTGAAATGGCGGGCGGAACCACAAGTATTGCCCACCCCTTTCGTTTAAACTAAGAGATAGTCCTTTAGCCTCTATAGCTCCTATTGTGGTCTCAACCTCTTCTCACGGAAACTTCAATAATATCTCTAACAAGCAACTGGATTTTCAACCATTGATAAGATGAAGCGGCCCGCCATCGAGCTTTATCCAACGATCTCGGTCGCTGAAATGTACGGTACCTTAGGGATTATAATTTCGGCCCACGCAATCCATCGATGCCCAGAGAAAGTCACCGTGGAATATTTCGCGGGTGAATGTTACTGTATCCTCTGCCTCAACTATTCCGACGTGATAAATTTCAAATTATTGGCGCCCACGGGAGTGGTTACAGTCAAGTTCTGGACACGAGCAGAACCTATTCTATTTGCTACCCCCAAGATTATTCGGTTAGTCTATCTACCTATTTAATCTCTTATAACTTACGAAGATAAATAGGACTAGCAACTAGTTGATATCTGGTGCTTCAGTGTCGTTGCAAATCAGGATGTAATAATGTAGAACTAGACACCCGAGAGGAGATCTTCGTTAGAGACTGCGTAGTGCGATAGCACTAGGGCCCTTCTTAGGATGTTTATATCGCGGAGTATAGGGGAATAGTCATAACAATTCTTCCATTAGTAATAGGGGCCCTTCTTCCTCCATTAGTAACAGACTGCTAAAGGCCTAGTACTATAAATATAAGTCATTGCAATACAATCAAACAGAACAATACGCTCGAGAACCTAATAGCAACCTATTATACTTACCTAGCTTCTTAATTCACCACAGATTCTTCCTTATCGTTCTTCCCCTAAATACGAACGTTTAAGCCCTTAAGGCACGTATAAATTGATCTACTCGACTTCTTTAATTACGTTAGGATTATCCAGTTCGCTTCTTACGCTAAGGATAGGCCTTAGACACCAATGATCTAGAAGGTCTTAAGACTTACCGACAATATCTTTCCAACTTAGGCGGGCTAGAGTCAAAGAGTCAAAGAGCCGACAGTATATCGGCCTCTATTCGTTGATAATGAGATTATCTTCGGTTACTATTGATCCGTTCTTTTCCAAGATGTATCGGTAGAGCTATTTCCTAGGCTCGGAACTAGGATCTTTATAGAGGGTAGAAAGGTAAGGCAAATTTCGAAAATATTCGATAAAGGTATTATTATTTGGTTTATACACGTAAAATATCACTACGTATATTAGTTCCGACGAAGTGAAATTGCTAGAAAGATAGATGGTTAGAAAGAGATCTTAGAACCTAGCTTAACCAAGACTTACTTCTCCTTTCCTAGACCACAAAATAATAATTTCAGCTTTGAAATATAGTCTTTAAGCTACGTAGTAGTAAGCCTTTTAGCGATAAGAGACTTACTAAACAGACACGGAGTGCCCAGAAAGCCCGCTAGCTATTTTGAGTTACGCTTCTATATTTCTGAAATAGACCGCCCGCCGAAGGGGATAAGAGCCGAGCTGTAAAGAACCAGCCAAACGTTTATCTCCCAAGTGAAATCCTTGTAAGTAAATTGCCGTAGTAGTATCGGAGTTAGTTTTCGGGGCTAGTCCTCCAGCTGGCCTATCCGTTAAAGATTGTCCCTTAGCTGGCTACGCAGTCGATCCTCTAGACGCTATAGAGGCTCCGGAAGTTCTAGGCCCCTTGGGAGCGCGTAAGGGAAGGTCGATACAAAATCGGAGGTAAATGCTTTCCAGCTAATACTGTGATCTATTCGTATATCTTAGAACTTCTTAGTCTTCTATTCCTACTCTCGAAAACTATGTCTCCTCTTCTCTTTACACCAAGTCCTCCAGTAAACATAGGTCACTAAACTTATAATGAAAACTATAGAGTATCGTTAAGAGGCCTAGTATAAGTAAACTCTATCTCATTTTGAGCTTACTATCACGCTATTTCCCACTAGCCGCCCTTATATCCATACTTCTTAGGGAGGGGATAGTCTTAGAACTAGGTTGAATCGATTCGGATAACAGAGGGGGTATTATTTATTTAGTATATAGATTCTCGATATAGAGCTCTTTGGCGTCGTAGGCAGTATGGTCCAAGGATATCTAGCTTCGAGATATAGACCGACTATTGGTAGGAGGGCTAGGAGTAAGCTAATCGACGAGCTGCTATTTAGGAGCAGTCAGCACTAGTTTCCGCAACCTAGCTCCATTATTAGTTGAGAGATAAAACGATTGAAGCTAACAACTATGCGATGTTACCTAGAACATAGCCAAAGGGACCAAGTGACTGCGACGAGGTGCCAGTCTTGCGTAGCTCATACCTACTGAAGTCCAACTATGCCGCCTATAGATACGATACTCACCCATCAGCCAAACATTCTGGAATATTATTACTTTAGTTTTCGTTGAGAGGTGCGGGTACAGCTAAATCACTGCCACTCAGGCTCGCCAACAAGGCAGTAAAGTAAAGGAAACTTTCAAGAGCAAGAATCCATCGGGACGAGTCAAGCGCTTTAGGGGCTATCCAGTGCCCGGGCTATAGAGTTTAGCTGGCGGCCCCAGAGAGCAAATCTCTTATAACCGAATGCGCCTTCTACTTGGGCACTATGGCGTATACGGGCGCATGGAGAAGCTAACGAGACGTTAAGGTAGACTTCCATCTAGGTATATGCCCCTCGCATTACATTTTCATTTCTATAGAACTTAGATACCTAGCTCTAATCATAGTAGGGTGTGTATATATCATGGCCTATTCGGACAACTAGTAGCCTTTGGCCGTTTGGGAACCACGGACTGGAGGTCAACGGTGACTTGGATGTATGCATGGCCACTCATAAATCGGTTGAAATCTTGGGTATTCATCTTAAATTGGCATAGAATCTGCATACAGTAAGCCGTCGTGTAACACCTGGCGGAGTAGGCGGAAAATAATAATGCCATCGAGGTGCTTATGTCTCGAAAAGGGTGGAAGACTCTACTCCCTTAAGGCTCTTATTAATTGCACCCAGGTCCTCGTCCGATGGGCGCTTCCTAGCCGTGGTGGGAATTTAAAGCCAATTCGAATTGCTCATGGTGGGCTTAGGTGCGCTGAACAGTAGACGTAGATCCTGCACCGCTAAATGAAGCGCACCCCTAGTGACGATACATGGAAACATTGAAGAGCTGCTGAGCATAACGGCAAGATCATCCTTATCCGGGCTCCAAAATTTCGAAAACTTTGGGTATGTAGATGTAACCGCGAGACTGAGACAGACGAGATAAATGTTGTTCTCCCAAGAAAATTGCGCCGATCTAAAGTCCCCCGACCTTTAAATCGGAGATAACCCAGTAAGTTGCTTAAGCTCTAAAAGGATGAGGTGTAGCTGCTGTTGTAGATCTGGAATAGTCACAGATACTCTATATACGATCGAGGTGTACGCAGACGCGAAACTTTCCCAGCTATCCTTGTTAAGGCCTCGCACCTAGCTCTCTTAATCCCTTTGAATTATATCTTTCAATGGCCTTTTATCCCCAGTACGACCATAATGGCCGGCAGTGACATATAAGCAACCAACAATAACTAAGAGTTGTTCAAAAGAGAAGTGTTACGGAATCTTTGGGTAGTCAGCGGCATGCTAGCGAGTATCTATACCTGATCTTACCTTTGGTGCCATCACATAAACGGACTGAGGCGATGTGGCTTGTCTCGATTTCAGCGGTGGTGCTACCTCTATATGAGCTATTGCGCCTGCTCTTATCGCAGCACGACCTACGTCTTTCTTTGTAGGTAGCTGCGACTGTGGAGGCGATTGTTGGCTAGACAATAACGACGGAACTTCTATCCCGAAGCCTTCGTCACAGTTTATATAAGATTTGTGGGAAGGCGTTATGTCGACTACAGGAGTTAAGATGGTCTGAAGAAGTTGTGAAGCGAAGTAGGAGGTAGAGCTCTGGAATCTTTGTGAGAGAAACAAATATAACATAGCGAGCGGAGCAACATCCTAACACTCAGGCCTTTTTAAACTATCACCATCCGCGCACTGACCCACGTTGCTCTCCTTTCTCGACCGATTCTGATGCTAAGATAACGATGCAAACGAACGAGTGTTATCCCCCTACGTCCTGGGTATGACCGATCGCCGTGTGAATTCCAAGAGGCGCGACCCTCTATCTCTATGAGACCACACTCTTAAGTGAGCCGATTGGATAAGCGTACATATATAGATTTCCATGGCTCATGCCCCAATTCGAGAAGCTCAACCAATATAGGGTCCGATATCAGTTCTTCCACAGTGAAACGAATCCACCGTTCCATCCCATATAACTTGAAAAGAAAACTCCCGGATCTGTCCCCGTAGATAAACCAGGTCTATAATTTTCCTTCAAGTGCTTCTCCATCGACATGACCATCCTTAGACCTAACCGTGATAGGTCCACTATAGATAACAGGTTGTGCTTCCCTCTTTTTCCGGGTCTCGTTGTAAGGCAGGCTGACCCAAGCGTAGACAATCAATCGCAATGAATGCAAAGCTTGACGGCCCTCTAGGTCTTCACCCATACCAGTCCGTTTCCACTCCTAGTCCACCAGGCGCCAGGAGTCTCGCCTAACACTTCTCTGACCCCGGGTAGCGCTAATCCTTGGGATTGCGAATGCTGACGAGGGTTGTGAGAAAAGGGTTTCACCCCAGCACGCATCGCCAGCTCATTTTTCCCCATTTCCCAGTGCATTTCTTCGAGAGCTCTCCACGGTATATCAATCTCTTCTGCCACTTTTGACCACATTGCTGCACGAAGTCTAGTAGGTGACATGTCAGTCGATCGGTCTACGACATCTGATAACCGCCGAGGCAAATCTTCAGTGCGACATTCCTGAACGTACCTGTTATACAACTTCGCGAATTTAGTCTTTTTGGCCTCGTCCCAGGGAAAGTTCCTCTCCAGATAATTTTGATAGCTCAATCGACAGCTGACCGGACTCCGACCAGGCAGTTGCTCGCCGATATCCTCCCAAGTCTCCCTCTGCGTGCGGAGCTGGATGATCCTCTCGTCTTCGTCTGGTGACCACTTTGGCTGCTTCTTCGCTCCCGGTCCTTGACTGCCTTGCTGAACATCCAATGCTGTGCCTTCTTCTCGCGACGTTTCCAACTGCTTCTTCCTGGCCGAGTGTTGATGCTTGCCCTCTGACAATATCATATTCAGATCCATCTCAGAGGTCTTTTCGTGATGTGGCTGACGTGGCGAGTAGATAAGGTATTGAGTAGAGGCGGCAGTTGACGAGAGGTGCTAGCCCGGCTCACTGCGAATTAGCGCTCCAAGGCAACGACTTCTCCTTTCATATCGTGGAAAGACCCTGTTATATAAATGCTGAGACCTGGCCAACCGAGAAATGAGCATACGGGTGAGCAGAAGCTATGGTCGCGACGTCATGGTCACGGACCAAGGCTTGACGAATAGATGCACGGATACAAGCAGACTTTCAACTTTCGGTCAACCCTACGTGGCGCCGCTCCACTCTTGAACAGGTCTGAAGAGATCACCGACGTCGCAGCTGTCCCACCACTTTCCCATCTCCCAAAGGACCCTGTTGGGCTTCCGGCAGGCCAGGCATCGATGCTCGTTCAAAGCAATGTAAAGCCCCATCCTCGGAGGATTGACGGCCGTGCCCACCAGCAGCTTATGTTGCGGACATAGTGTGTGCATCCTTTGGAAACGGTCGTCATACAGAGGTTCTTGGAGAGAGGCCAGTCTTGAGTGCTTATGTCGACGATGTACGTCATTCTGGTGAGGTCGAATTTTTACGAAGTGCTGCCTAACGAAATCCAGAATGGACCGCGCTCGCAGAGGAGGAGAGTAAAGGAAGTTCGGAAAAGCTTTCAGCTGGGGGGAAAGAGCTATATATTCACAGGAAATGTATTCTTTCCTGAGGTTTTCCCTTTCGCCGATAACATTGGAAGTAAATCCTCAAGGCTTCACCGTAGTTCTCCAAGCCGAGCGTTGTCATCGCCTTGATGATATCTACGCCACTGATGTTTAATCTTTTCTCCTTCTGCGCATCTTCCGCCGCTTATTCAAGTCAGTGTAGTAGAGCTATAGTAGTATATACCTTACACATACCTTGACTAGTGATGAACGAGATGAATTCGGACGTGCATGCGTTTATAGTTTCAATTGCATCCTTCGATATCATAGCAGTTTTCGGGATGGCGCGTCTCATGATTCGGTGAACTACAGGATTATGCTGTTAGTCGTTGCCATCTTGAATGCCTTCTCAGTGACAGTACAAACCATTTTCCTTGGGAAGACGGAGGCTTGAGAGTGCCGGTGCACTGTCTTGCTGAGGCTCTGAGTCAACCTTGCCCTCGAGTGATTCTCTAGTCGAATTTTGGCAATCGCCAATATGTTCAATTCCGTTAAATCCATCCATGTTAGGATATGGGTGTCGGAAACGTAAGTTGGATGATAGTGAACTCGAGGCTAGAAAGGGCGTACTGATCGATGGCTGAGCCGTGATTCTTAAGTCGCTGGAGGATCTCTAGTCTACCAGGCTTCGATGGCGCGCGCCTGCCTCTCCTCGAACCGAACGATAATTTTGTCAAGGTTTGAGGCTTTGAGAAGTGTGAAAGAATCCCTGTTGGACTACCAAGGGTTCTAGGGGCTAGTCCCCCTACATACATGAGTCCTAGGGGGCTGGGGATGCTAATGATCCACCGAACTCTGACCAATTTCACGATTAGGGGATGACTTGATTATCCGTGGTAGATCCCAGAAATAAAGGGAAAATTTGAGTGACCACAAGAGGCCATTCACGTTGATATGCTATGAGACAGTTACAATTGCCACTGGATTGGCCTATTCCTGGGATCGGTCTTTTGCCCCACGAGTCACCTAAGCATAGTTCCTCGGAGCGAGGAAGATGGAGGACGCGAATATTCGTCGACGTCGGCCAACCGCCCATGTGAGCAGCGCCTGTGAGAATTGTAAAAAGCGGAGAAGAAAGGCATGTTGCTCTACCATCAAAGAGAACTACTTCTGAACGTAACTTAGTGTGATAAGACGCGACCATGTGGGGAGTGCTCAAAAGCGGGATTTAAATGTCAACCGAGTCGAAAAGATTTGAGACGAAAGGAGACTCGCCAGCAAACACAATTACTGGCCAAATTAATGCGCCAACTCTTAAAAGTGTGCGGTGATAGTAGAAGCCAAAAGTTTCAAGATCTCATCAAGACCATGCACTGTACACCATCATTTGAGGACATCCACCGTGTACTCGACGATGAAAGCCGAGTCGAGACACTGATTGAGAGGTCAAATGGTGCGTCCACCAATGATTCACACCCACCAACGCTGCTTTTCTCCCAGCCAGATCATGATGGGCAGGATGTCCAGACGATCCATCAGCAAACGCACCTAAGTACAGAGAGTCGTATTGATCCTCGATTGTTGTACAGTCCTGTGGAAGGGAAGCGTGAGAACGGCACCTGGGTGGATATTGGCAAGGAGAGACTCAGCATTTAGGCGTTGATGAACGGCTCTGTAGACTTGTAAATGTGTCCTGCATTATGAATGGCGTCAGAGATTCGTCCTTGGATTGACTCTCGTGCACGTACACTTGTCTGCTTGAATGAGCAGGACCATGTTGGAATCGTCTTACTAAGCCTTTCACCATGGATTTCCAAAAAAGTGAGAAGAGAGGTGAAGCAGCGCCAACATATTGTTGAAATGATCATAAACGCTTGGAATGGAGAGGGTTGTCGCATATATTTATTGTGCAACTGTGTGGACATCATCCAGGGATCGAGGCTAATTCAGAAAGGGAAAGCATCCAGTGACAAATTTCAGGATGGCTGATCTCCCAGAAGTATAGCTGTCATGAAAATATGACTTGGCCTCTGCCATAGATAGATGTTGGTTTGAAGTCTCCGAGCTGAACGTGACATCTGGTGCGGTGCATCGACTCCAATTCGGCGGAAGTTGCTGGTTCCAATAGTCTGTCCACAAGTCAATTTCCTTCGTGGCTCTCGGTTTCGAGGATAGCGATGGCGCAAACACACTCAGCGTAGGCTCCCGATGATAGTTCTGTGCGTACGACAAGGCGGCATTCTTGTATAGACCAGGCCCCTCCCGGCTGAGACAGGATGGTAAATATGGTCCTTGGGCGGTTTGTACCCCGGGCTCGAAATGGCGCTGAATCTCATACCCAGCCACAAGTAATAGCAAGTTGTCGTTATGAGGTAGCATGTTGTTGCCGTGGGAAGATTCTCCATGAAGTGCAGCGTGCACCTTGGAGATCAAACTCTCGGCCTCCAATGACTGGGACCAGATGTTCAGAAAGGCGACAAGTTTTTCACAACGGCTGATGACGACGATGTCTAGGATCGTTTCCATGAAGGTAGTGCGAACCGAGTTTCCCAGCTCAACTACCACTTCGTTGCGGAGACGAGAATACTCTCGGAGCAATGGCATGCTCATGGGCAGGTTAATCGGCCCGGCTTGAATCTGGTGGCGATGCAAGGCAGCCAGAAGTTGACGTCGGCGGGCAAGGAGCACTTCCATGTCCAGAGGAAACCCAAGCTTCTCAAGTTCGGAGGCGATGGTCGCTATTGGTGTCGATTCAAGACTTTGTTGGCCTTCAATCCAGGTCGGCTGCAGTAGGCCGTGACCCGGTGGCAAGATCGGGTGCATGAAACCTTGTAATTCCTCGGCGGTAAATTTCAGATTTGCGATGGGTTCCGACGGCGGTAACTTGGCAATCTTTTGGAGTGTGGACAGGGCCGCGAGTCTTTCGTCCCGCTGAGGAAGGGATGGCGAAACAATATTTCCAAGAACAGCGGAATTCCAGCTAATGGAGCCAGCGACGATGCTGTGCGCGAGCGTGACCACCAGTTGCCAAAATGCATCATCATTGACCACCTCATCTGCGAAGTCATGCCATCGATCTCTCTGGCCAGCCCAGTCGATTGGAAGGACGCCTGATTCCCGGAGTGAAGGTTCTTGACCAAAGGAAATATTAGGCATTTTGGAAGGCGGCCGACAATCAAAGTTTTTGGTAGGGTTGAGCGGTGAAGTAGATCTGGCGAGCGGCATCCTTATGTGCCTTGCGCCCGACTTGAGTGAGAAAGAGGGAATTCATCGCAAGTTGGGACACCGTGATAAGCCCCGCCTGATCCTTGACAAGACGAACATGGAGTGTGCGGTGTTGTCAAGGGGTACGAGCGCCACCTCCTCGTCTTCCTTGGCCTGAGACGAATTTCAAGCTGCGGGTGAGGTATGGTCGCAGCCTCGATCCGGATCGGCGACGTACACAGCGCGCCGGGTAAAAAGCATAGTAGAGAATCAATTACTAACATTTTCGCCGAGAATTTGTATATATAGCATTAGTCCTAGCTATACGCTTGCAATCAGCTGAGCAGAAGCTATGGTCGCGACGTCATGGTCATGGGCTAAGGCTTGACAAACAGACGCATAGGTACAAGCAGACTTTCAACTTTCGGTCAACCCGGAGACGTGGGGCCGCTCCACCCTTGAACAGCCTCGCAGAGATTGCACGATGACCTGGTATCACATCTTTTACCCAACATGTGAAGTCCATGTTATGGCTCGACCCCGCTGCTTCATGCCGCTAGCCTGGGCCATCAAGATGATCAAACTCAACGGATATGTTCTTGACTACAATTGTTACAGCCAAAGGCAATATGGTTGTATCTTCATCGTTCTTCTCTGTTGGGAACTACATCTAAGCGTTGGTCAGCGGCTCTGTAGACCCATGAGTATGTAACCAAAGAATGTATCCCGTATTGTGGTGGGAGTACGCCTCCAAATCCACTCTCGTACACACACATCTACGTGCCTGAGTGAGGATGGCCCTTTTGACACCGTCTTTGAAATTCCCACAGCACCTAAAGAGTCGTTCAGGAGCTCGGAGATTCTATTTCAAATGTCCGTTAAAAATCGAAGAATGTGCTCGTGCAACAGTCCTGTCTCTCCAGACGCCTGGAAACCTGCCACTCTCTTCCAATTGACATTGATCTGTGCCATTTGACCCTGTTGGCTAATAGTATAACGCAATTCATCCTTGCCATGCGCATCCCACCCACAGAGGTGGCCTCTAACCGTGGAACTTGGAGAGCGCAGGGTCAAGACAATCAGTTCTCCAATGCATGCCAGGGGCAAAAGGGTCGTGTACCGTTGCAAATTGCCCTGGATTCGGGTTTGAATCGCACAGTATAACAACTTTTCCTTTAAAGCCCGAAATGCCCCATTGATATGCTCCTTCGGAACCAGTGAGTCTCGATCGCCCAGGTGGTAGAGCGCGAGGACCGCCGCCTTGAGGGAAATAATATGCCTTCCGACAGTGTCTTGACATGCTGGGCCAAGTTTTGACATGATATCGGTAATCCAGTCGGTGTGGTGAATCTCGATGACTGGTTCTTTGGTAAGCCAGTGGAAAGAAAACGTCAGTGGACCCGGAATTGGCGTTCCAAAGAGTGGGAGTGGAAGCGAAAGCTGCTCAAACATATCGCCAATGCACTTGATTCTTGTTATTGGATTGTCCATGGCGGCAGATTCTGTTTCTTGATCAAACCTGAGTAGTGTGGTCTACTGCTAGCCGTCTAGGGGAATCGTACTTTATATAGCTTGTCATGAGACTCTGGTATCGGTGAACACGTCGAGGCGCCGAGGAATACCTGCATCCGAAGAGCTTGATGCATGCATTGGCGGCACTAGTATCATAGACGTGTCAGTGACTAAACTCCGATCGTGTACATCAAAGACAATAATGGGAAATGTTTTGACGGCAGCTTGGATCCTGTTAGGGATTATTGATCCATCTGATTTGAGGGACACACATTCTCCCGTCCTTCACTTATCCTAACATGATGATCGAGTAGAAATTCGCGGCAGCCGACGCACCATCAGCAGGGATCCCACATACTTGTGTACATTGTCCAGGGAAAATATGCGCGGTGTCCCAGTGGCAGAGGGCCAAATAGACCAGACGGTTTCCTGGCCATTGCTCCTTCGACCGATCATGTATATACTATTCCTTGCTCGTCTCGTGCCAGAAAAGGACCATATCCTCGGCCGTTTGCGCGCCTCTGTACAGCTCTTTGTCCTTGAACAGTGAAATGAGGATCTCAACATGGGTTTCACGACCTGAATGAACCAAAATAGTCATGTGAAGTCAAAGGGAACATCGGCAATCCTTTGGCCCCATTACAGATTATTCTCTGCAAAATCGAATCTAGGGATACTGTTCGTGGGATGAAGACTGTCCACGACAACAACTAACTGCACCCCTGCAGGTGGTGAGATAACGCGTTCAAGATCCTGTATATTAATGACACCTTTGGTGCGGAAATCTGTTGGAAAGATAACTTCTTTAGCTTGCTCGCCACATTTCGTTGTTATACTATGGCCACAGTACTAAAACAATAGCTTATCGCCAGGTTAAGCGCCACTTCCCAACCAATGTGCTACCTAAAGGATATTTTTTCTTGTCGGTTAAGAAATTGGCTGGCGCTAGTAATCGGTCAAGGTAATAATATTCTAGTGGTCATAGCCATACTACAGAAGGACCTTCGATATAGACTTCACACTCTCTACACAGCCCGTAAGCCTTCCAGATTATCCCAAATAGTTAATACCCACCAACAACGCCCTTTTTCGACTTCGATCCGCGACTTTGAAGGCTAAGTCTTAATAAAACGGCGTCTACGACGTAGTAGACACGTTGTACCGATAAAAGTAGTCGTTGTTTTAAGATAATGTATCGGCTAGTAAGGACATCCTTATACGGGGCGCAAATAGCGCTTTTAAAGTCAGCGACGAATTAACAATAGATGGCCATAGAATACGGTATAAAGCACTTACGTACTGGGTCTACTAAAGGAGAACTTCCAATTTAGCACGGTATAGGCTCTAACTAATAGCTATTAGTTAATATTGAAATGCTATTACTATCTTATCGTTTTTGTCGTGATTCTACTAGATTGATAATACACTTATAACTATAAGAAGGGCCCTCTAGGTATATTGACTCCTCACGGTGTCTTCCAATCAGCCAACGTCGAAATAATTTAGGGAGTCCCGTCAAGGCGAGCAGTATAGTGGTAAGCAGGATATATACCTTGTAGAATCGTTAAATAGAGTACACCTCTTACTCTCTCTTAGCTTACCACGTAGCATAGTACTGTCGTAGCACTACTTTGCTAGCGTACAATAACACGAAAGACCACAAAGGCTATACAGGCACTAATAAGCGACCGGAACACTTCGAAAGAGAGCACGACCTCTACCGGCACTTTGCCACTTGGCAGGCTATTCAGGATATCTCGAAACGAGTGCTTTTTTCTTTATATACGCGCTAGATACTACCCCGCCTAAACACTTCAAATAAGATAGGAAATAAACACCGAGAAGGCGAATAGAAGCGACCCTATAATGCTATAGTCCCTAGAGCCTCTTACTTAGTTCTTCCCAAATAAATAATTAGAAAATACTCACCAGATAAAACTTGAAATAAATAGAGCGATTTAAACCAATGCTACGTAGACGGATAAGACCGCCATAGAGACTAATTTTATATTCCACTTAAGCGTGAAGAAAGGTATGATATAGCTAGAATAAAAAGTGTCGAGTATACCGGATACCTTAATGACCTGTACGGACCTTTAGAAATAGTCCTAGGACGAATAGAAGTCTTAACCAACGTCCACAAAATTGATAAGGAAAAGAGATATTCGGCTAAGGTAAATCGTCTCTTGGAGCAGCCGTTTCTTGACAACAGCGACAAGCGCAGCAGCAAGCGGTATCAAGGCGCAAGCATTGACTAAACAAGCATAGGGAGATATATACTTCCGTGGTTTCAAATTAATAACGGCTAACAGCCAGTAAAGTAAGGTTAAGACAAGGCTGTAGATACTGCATACGAACCCAAGTTCTACCATAATGTTAGAATAACCGGTGAGGGAAAGAACGAATCAGTGAAAGCTTAGAGGGAATAAGGCAACCAGGCAATAAGTGAATATGTAGGACAAAGGATCTTTATCTGCTAGGTATTTAAAGGAGTTGAAGCGCTCACCCTAGTCTCGTCTCCGAGGTGGCCTCCTACTTTCGCTATTTATTAAGGTTAGGGCCTACTAACTCCCGATACGTATATCTCCTTTGATCTCCCCTCTTACTTACGCGTCGTGGTGACAAAGGACGGCCTTATTATACGTATATTATAGCACTACAGTTCATGGGTAGGACTATCGAGTGAATAGCGTAACTAAGAAATTTAGTGGATGGTTCTAGGGGCCGTTCATCTCATTATACGTTCTAAGGTAAGAGTCGGAGGTCGCTTACGGCAAAATGAGAAGAGTTCTGGGCACGCGAAATACGCGCTAAAGGCCACCTTCTATAACGAAGATGCCGGAGATGCGGCCTCTCCGGTTGCATTAGTTCCGACGCTAGCTGAGAATAGCTCAACCACCCTCGCTAGGTGTATCTGTACTCGACTTACTTTTATCTACAACCGCAGTTGTAGACAAAAGTGGGTCCGACTTCCAATGCTCCTAGATTTCTATCCAGCCGGCGCTCAGTGACCGGACGCAACACAACATTTTCAAGCTAAGGAAGATAGGCGATATAGACATTAACCCGTTACCTAGCTATATTGTATAGTTTATCTCGGAGAGCAAGGTCAATAAGGCGCACGAATAGGCATCGAGGGGTCAACAACAGCTTTATAATATCTTAGATACAGAAAGAACGACGTTTAAATTCTCTATCGACTTTATTAATTACTTCGCCGAGGTTAATGTAGCAATCTACCTTAACTAGACAACTTCGCCGTATCCATTGTTTAACCCGCTCGTTCGATATCGACTCTACTACAGCTTTGCCGCCCAAGACGATAGAGCCAATAAGAAATTCCAGTCCGACATTCAACTAGTCTACGATATATACATCCGTCCGATAAAACGTAAATTTAATGAGGGATAGTATAACCAAGCATATTTACCTCTCTATTAAGTAGGACTGACCGGAACCAATAGACACAAGGATTCTCCTCCTCCTGCGGATAATATAGAACCTTCCTTAACTTGTACACAAAAGAAAAGGCGATATACCTTAATATAGTCCAATTATACCGAAATAAATGGCCCGACCACTAAAAGTACGAATGATTAAACTCCTATCTATCTAAGGGTAGTAGGCAAGGATTCCAACCTAGTTAAGGTGATACGCCGATAACTTGCCTCGCAATCGACTTACTAAACCCCTTATAGCCACGACGAGGATAAACCTAAAGACTACCAAACTCCTCATAGCTACGACAAGAATAAACCTAAAGACCCCGAAGTCTCGGGATCGAGTATACTAGGGCTAGGACAAGACCAGGTTAAGACAGATAACAAGTCGATAGACATTACTAATTCCGTGATTAAGAGCGTCCAGAAGGGGATAAAGGCGATCTTGGAGAGACAAGCGGTTACGGAAAAAAGGCGACAGAAAAAAAAGAAATCGTCGGGGTTAAACATTAAAGGTATTTACTCCAGTAAGGACTTAAAGCCGACGTTCCAAAGCTCGAGTATAGAATAGGTCACAAAGTTTAAAAATTCTAGGTCGGATACGAAAACTAGTCTTCAACGCCTCGCTAAGATCGAGAAAGATTTTATGGTAGGTAAGAAAATGATACGAAACCATAATGCTTAGAATTATTGGTATTATGCCGCGAGCTTCAGCTATACTCGTTGGCACTTTGGGAAGTGCTAAATATATTGAAGAGCGAAGGCAGTACGCGTGATCAACCGGACTTTTAGTCAGCTTTAGTCGAGTAATGGGCCCGCGGCGGTTATACTTCTTTGTGCTCTTGCCGGTATGCCGTATGATATATCTACGAAGAGAGAGAGAGAGAGAGAGACTGACCGATATAGAAAGGCGAAACACGCTAAGTAAAGCTAGTCGTATCTTCGACACTAGCTAGGACGAGGTTATCAGGCTTATTGTGAAAGGTTTGATCGGGGCATTGAAGGCGCCTCCTAAGGGATTTCAAATACCATTTCCGGTCGTTTGGGTCAGTTTCTTTTTGAAGATCGGGTATGTCTATTTAGTGTACCAGTGGTTGCGTTTTACTGAATGTGAACCATAGTTTACAGGACGCCTATACGGCGCTTAATATCGAGGCACTTGCCGAAATCAAGCTACAACCGATTTAGGAGGCCTGCCCGAATAGACAATTTAAGCTACGTCAAGGGTATAAATACGCTTCCTTGAAAGCACGATGGACGTCATTGTATACCAGCTTAGGACTGTTAGACTGCGAGCAGGAAAGCTCATGCTCGCCAGAGCCTAAGGTGGTTGAGGACGGTGACCGCTCATGCGGACTACAGACTACTTCTCAGGCTGTCCCTTCTCAGGCTGTCCCTTCTCAGGCTATCCCTTCTTAGGCTGTCCCTTCTCAGGTTGTCCCTTCTCAGGTTGTCCCTTCTCAGGCTGTCCCTTCTTAGGCTGTCCCTTCTCAGGCTGTCCCTTCTTAGGCTATCCCTTCTCAGGTTGTCCCTTCTTAGGCTGTCCCTTCTCAGGCTGTTCCTTCTTAGGTTGTCCCTTCTCAGGCTATCCCTTCTCAGGTTATCCCTTCTTAGGACGTTCCTTCCTCCCAGGAAATTCCCTCCGCCGAATTTTGGCTGAAAGGCTTTAAAGACAACGACATTAGAGAAATACACTTTAAAGACGCTTTCTTATCCTATCAATTGGATCTTTACTCGGCTCTTCCAAGTTCGCCTAATCGAATCGTTGACCCACTTCACCATTGAGCCAGATCGAGAACTTTAAGCAGCCTCGGCCAGTGTCTCCTCTAGGTTCTGCGCTCCTTCCAATTCCCGCTCAATCTTATAGGGTGTAAAGTTCCCCGTAACCTACCTAGCTCCGACAAAAAGACCCTCTTTCCCTCCCTCCAGCACGAGAATATCGCCTACTAAAAGGTCAAAAGGGTCAATAGTAGGAGGACGACGCGACTTTAAGATTGCAACTCAGGGTTCCTCACGCATTTTTGAGACGAGGATTTAAGTAGGTACTTACATCATTTCCGTTGATATTGGGGCCTTTACACTCTTACTAGTTTCCGGTGCCTTGGTTTCACTTAATGGCAAAAATTCCCTTTCGGTGGTAATCTTATCGTCGTTATCGTCGTCGTATTATATTGTTTCAGGATCGCGAAGAACTATTATCGCCACGACTTAGTTTACTTTAACGTAGAAGTGGTTCGTAAGGAAGCTCTATTTATTACGGTATATCCGGGAAAGTTTTTATCCCTTTTCCTTATAATAATTGAGAATGATGGGGTGCTCGTAGCCATCAGTAGTGATTAAGACCCACCGATGGGAATCTAACCTACATAGTCTCTTTTAAATAAATTGACTAAATTCTAAGATTATTCGTCACGTTCCTATGGGCTAGGGAGAGGGGGCAATCGCTAGTGCCCTTTTAGTTCTCGCTCTAGGATAAAATCTTCGGCGCGCAGTACGACCTACGAAGCGACCTCGCGAAACTTATCGCTAGTTTTAATGGTAAGCATATTAACTATACGCGGAGTTCGATAGAGAATCTAGATGTAAGATTGAATATATTTCGAAAGGAGCTGCTATATATAATATCCAACGAGCAACGTTTTAAAAGATGTCTTCTAATGTGGTATTGGATACTTCTATACGCCACGTAGAATGCTGTAATAAATTCGAAGATATAGTTCGAGATACGTAGGTTTCGAGGTAGAATTTGATACGTCATTATGTATATTGTAGTTACCTAAAGAAAAGATTAGGATTTCTCGGGCTCCAATCCACGGGTTCGTGTGATAGCGGCGACGAAAAGTTAGTGTTACTAACGAATTTAGGGCAAAATATCTTGCTACTATAAGAACAACTCGAGACTTTAACGCGCAAACAGAAGCCTCTACGTAAGCCCAAGAGGCCAGTTCAGGTAGCTTTCCTACAAGACACTGCCTTCACCCACGATCACATCATACCCCGAGAGAAGATCCCTTGATAGCTTCAGTCTCAACCATGATATATCCGTTAACCACCAGAATCAGCGCACCATACCACACAAACGCCACTCAAAGCCAAAGTAGGGTGGACACAATTAATAGCAGCCTCTCACCACAAAGAGGATCCGGGCCCTGACAGGGACGCTCTAGTTGACTCTGCCGTTGTTCGTACCTGAACGGTCGAGTTGATCCGAGAGAGCCGGTTCATCAAATTGCATAGTCGCAATATCGTCTGGAATTTCTTCTGGCTTGGGGAGCGTTGGATTGGGAGGTTGATTTTGAGGAAGACCGTTGGTCCCCGCTGGGTCGTGATGCGTCTCCTTTGGGGGTGACTTAGGTTCATTGCGAGGGTCCGATGCATTTTCTGATATGATGATATAGGTTAATAAGAGGAGAGGCGGGAGGGCTGGCTTGTCAAAGATTTGTGGCTGAGTTTATGTTAACACTGACTTTAGAATTGCTGACTGAAGAGGAGAGGAAGGACACTTGGCGAAGTCTCAAGATCATCCTGGAAGCAAGCATTCTTATACCTGGAGACGCGCATCGGAGTCTTCAGAGAAAAGACCTCCCTAATGTGATCATCTTCGATCAGGTTGATGGACATCTCAGCTCAAGCGCAACTGACCAACGATGCCCCTGGTCCTCTACCACGGAGACCGCATCGTGCTCGATTACGCCGACCGTGCATTTCTGACACTGCAGAAACATGTCAAAGAGAAATGGCAGACCATTATGCGACCTACATCGTCCGCTGAAGCCCAGACTGAGACACGACCGTCTGGATACTTTGATTGGGAGTGCTTGCTAACCCCTCTTGGAGACAAAGAGACATTAGTTCAAGATAGAATGTATAGCTTTTCGTCGCCATGTTGTTTTTGACGCCGTTGATGATAAGCTCTTTGAGGAAGGTGCAGCGGGCTTGCGGCCTGCTCCAATTCATTTCGAACCATTGCCTAAAGTCCCACCTCCCGAAAAGTCCACCTCCTGTAAAAGTTCACTTTCTGTAAAAGTCCACCTCCGTAAAAGTCCACCTCCTGTAAAAGTTCACCAAAAAGTCTACGTTCGTATTCTAGAGTCTCTCGAAGCCATTGATACTCCCAGGCGGGCTAAGACCAGCGGGGGTCTAGCTAGTTCTACTCTTTGCTGCCTGGCGGTCTTCCCGGTTCATAGTTGCCTCCCTGCTTTTGGTCCTCTCGCGATACTGTATACAACCGACAGCTCTTGAAGCCATTCAATTTAGTAAGGCCTACCCAAGTCAAAGCGTATCGCGAACAGTCACCTGACAATAATTGCTGCCCAAAATCTAACCCCACCATCCCCTCACGGCGCGAGAACTTTTTTGTCAGCTCTGTTCCGGAAGTCCTCAGACTGCCGTTTGTCTTCACGATTTTGGGAAAGCATTTGCTCAAACTCGCCAGTGGTCTACTTACAACTGGAGGTGTCGCAAATTCCCATCTCACGTCCGACTTGCACGCCATCAAGGGTTGTTCATCCTCGAGCGCAAAAACGACCATTGACTCTCCTAGCAAACTAATCTTACCCATGGTAAGTGTCATCATGAATAGAGACAACATTGCTAATGTTTTATCTAGCCGTCCAAGGACATCAATGATCAAGACCTCGATCCATCGACGATAAACTGGGAAGACAGCCATAAGACTCCTCACCGCATTTATGGAACTGGTCGATGGGTATATTGGCGTGATTGTAGGCAGGTGACACTGGCACGAGAAGTGGGAGGGGTGTTCGAACAAGTCAGAGAGATTGATAAAAAGACTGGGCGTGCGGTTCTTCCGGTGGGCTTGATCCTAAAATGCATGGGCGATGGTGGGAAAATGAAGGAGGAATGATGCAGCATGTCAGATCATTCATGTTTTAAAGAGCATATCTTTCACCTGGTATGCTTCAGCTTCTCCGAGGTTGATGTTGAGAATACCGTCCTGGTTGACATTGCCAGGTATTTGCATTGTTACAAATCTTGTGTTAAGAATTCCTTGATTTCTTTCCTCCTTTCGCGCGGGACTCACTTCGAGCATCTGGCCCAACGTCGGACCAAGTATTTCAACAATTCCTGCGTCTTGAGCACCTTGTGCAACGACTTCGTTCTTGATGAGAAGTTTCGTTCCGTTCGCCTGCTCGATATACCGAAAGTCACCCTCAGAATCCACTTGGGTACCAAAGAGTTTCAGAGCAAGAAATTCGACTTTGCTCGCTAAGATGGCTAGACTCATACAAACCATCCCAAGGGAATATGAATATGGAAATAACATCTCTATGTGGGCTCGTTCGCCACTCTTTCTGACCGCCGACACCATATAGGGGCGGAACAGGGTAGGTAAGTACCTCGCAGGAGGGTTTGAGACTGTCTGAAAATCTGATATCTCCCTCAATGTGGAAGTCGACTCAGCATTCGTCCCAGTAGTCAATGTGTTGTTGTTCACAACAGGGGGTATAGATGGCTGATGCGGCTCCAAATCTTGGACAACTGCGGTCGAGCTGAACTGAAATTCGCTAGTGTTCTGGGCATCCATTACTGAAGCCTGGATCACTGAAAACTTGTCAGGAGTTGTGCGACAAAGCCTTCCTGCGTACTTACCACTCACACCGCGTTGTTCCTTCAGCTTAGATATTGCGTTCAAGACGGTCGGATGAACTTGAGTTCGTTCGATCGCTCCTGCCACTTCTCGCAGAAGCTCCGGATTGAGGGTTTGGAGCGTATTCAGCGCCCAGGTGTCATCAGCATGCCCCTTGTAATGAGTCTCTTTTCGCTGGCCCGCAAGGAAGTGGGAAAGCCAAGCCTTGAATCCAACACCCAACAGGGTCTTTTGAATATGTCCAGACTCCAGACTGGGTACGTTTTTCAAGGCTTTCCACATTCCGTGAGGAGCATTTGTCCGTACCCATTCTGTAGTGAATTCTCTGGTGAGAATTGAAATGAGTCGCTGAACATCAGATTCCTGCATTTTCTTGGCGAGAGCATAGGGTGTAGAAGGGGATTTGCGAAGATGAGGTGAACTTTTTGTAAGGTGGACTTTTTGTAAGGTGGACTTTGAGTTGCTAGTCTCGGCTGGTGCCCGATGGGGGCAGCATGTCAGAAGATATTTCTCGACTTACCGACCTAGATTACAAAAAGCCTAATTCCCAAGCTCCAAAATCTTACCCGGCACTTAAGACCGCCACGGAACGCTTAGCTTATTGTTACAATCATAATTATAGGCGACAAGACACCACCGAGTACTGTATTCAGCGCTAACAGTGTTGCTGCCACTCTATCTCTGCCATTTTGCCTTGTGCTGCTTCCCATCTCTCACAACATCATGTGCACGTACGGCAAATCGATAGCTGAGCACTCTAACTGTACCCAGCCAGCACGACACCAGATCGAAACACGTCGTCGCAAAAGATGTGCGGCGAGTCCGAAACCAGGCCTCCGTGCGCCAAACCGACCCATGACCCAACTCTCGACACTCTCCCTTCCAACAAAGGAGGGCGGTGCACAGGTTGTCGAGATTCTGGCCAGCCGCTTCAAATCTACAAAATCATCTGGGTAGGCTATGGCGATCACTTCTCTAAATCGTGCTGAAGAACCATGGCAGGTGGATCTTCATGGCTAGGGCTTTCGATGTCGATTTCGGTGAGCACGGGCACGGGATGCGTTGTCACACCCCGCGCCGGCAACGCGAATTGGCTGTGGAAAAGACACCAGATGGGATAATCGAAATGTGTTGTCCGTTCCACAACTTCGACTGCACATTGATCATAGTTGGTCCTAACCGTTATATACTGGCAGTCGCCCCGGTCAGAGTAGTCGCGATCCATCCACTAGATCTCTAAAGAGCCTTTCAATCCTTTTAAAAATGTGCGAAATTGCCTGCACAACTTATCGCGCTTGCTCGAGGAGGCCTCGACACAACATACGCGGGGACTATCTTCGGTGTGCTGCAGCCAGGGCACGTCGCAATCAAGCACCCTGTGTCCCTCCCAGCGGTCAGCTCAGGGATTTGCCACTGAGTATTCAGCCTCAGGATACCAATGTGGCAGGAGATTGTCCTGTCTGCAAGAAAGTAACACCAGATAATTCATCGGATTGATGACGGTCAGTCCCCCAAAGAACCCGTCGGCAGCACTCACGGGCGTAATCGCATGCATTACCACGTTGTTGAAAGTGACTAACCATTAATCAGTAGGCGCGCCACTTCGAAGAGAATTCTGACAAACAATTTGGTATTCTTCTTCACCTTGAAAACCTCATAAGCCATTGTTTCAAGGTCGGCCGTGGGATTGGTCTTGCAATGCATGTCGAGGACAATGTGCATCGATGTTGATTCATTTGGAGCCATGAGATGGGAATAATAGTCGTCGCCAGGGTTTAGCCTGAATGTAGTGAAGAAGTCATGAATGATAGCTGCTTCTTCCAGCTCGTGATCCACACGGAATCGCAAAACAATTCGCCTGGGTTCGGTGCGCTGCATTTCTAGCCTCATAGTGACCAGTAAGAGAAATGTGTTTGTGGCAAGCAAAGCCAGAGCTATCGTACGGGAGTAGTGGAAAGCATATCTTCGAGTGGAATCAAAGTACAGGCTACCAGATGGCTGGGGAAAATGTCTTGGCAGGTCACTTTTTTGAACCCACAGAAATGACAGCAAGCTGTCAAGGCAAAAACGCTATATCATACGACGGGGAAGGGATCGTAACACCGTATTGATATCGTAGTTCTTATTGGCTCTTGCTCAAAATGGACTTTGCCCTTCATAGAAGAAACGGACCCGATAACGGTCTCCACTTTCTGGAGAAGAACATAAAAGAAAGTCCGAAGAGGAAGGCGTTTTTACAACTCACTATACTACACAGCAGTTTGCAGTAGCTGGCGAAGCCAAGAGTCTGAAGGCTCTAAGTGGTTTCCTGTGTGGGCCGCAGTTGGAAACTGATAAGTCTGGAGGGGCCTAGCCGGAGACCTTTTGAGCGGCACGTTAGGCTGTGCAAACCGCCCCATAACCGCCGCCAAGCTTTGCTGGATGTTTGAGCAATCACCGTGACGCACCTGTTCCCACTTGTTTTGGTCCACCTGCGCTTTGTCGCACAGTTTCTACTGGAACGTGATGTTCTTCATTCACAAGCCCAGACAAGCCCCTTCCTCGAAGCAACGCAGGCACACATCGATCTCATACGGAGAATTACAATACCTTGCAGCCGGCAGATCAGGAACGATTTATGCGATCGATGAGAAGAGAATCTTGAAACAATACCATGAATGTCGAGCGCCTGGCTTATGGACGTCTTGGGCCCCATCCAAACATCGCTAGATACTTGGGCAGTACGAAGGATGGTTCCATCATCCTCGAACGCGGGCAGGTCCTTCGGACGGTTTGCCAGAAAACCGGCGCTGCGCAGATTCCGTTGCAAAGAAAGCTTCGTTGGGTGAGGGACGCTGCCGAGGGAATCAAACATGCACACGGAAAGAACATAGTCCAGGCCGATTGCAGCTGTAATAACATGATCCTCACGAGGAGCGGTGACTTGAAGATCATCGATTTCGAAGGTTGCAGCATCGATGGCGCAGAGGCAGGCTCTCAGTATGAATGGTTCAGTTACCGACGGTCAACACCACTCGTAAGCTTTCAGACCGATATTTTCGCCTTTGGTTGTGCGACACTCATCCAGACTTGGAACCACAGCGATTGCAAACAATGTGAACATAGTTGTCCAAAATGCCGGCTCAGAGGATGCTCTGCCTAAATAATTTTTGAGGATTAAAGTTAATGGATGGTTGCTGACGACCTATCAGATGATAAATAGCGAGTCTTTGGGTACTACATCTATCTCATGCGTATCAGCTCCCAGCCAGGAACGATGTCGCAGAGCAAAGGTATCAGACAAAGCAGCGCGACTACACTGGAATTGTAGCAGTTCCAGTGATACTGAAATTAGTGTCCTGATTGCTCTCGTCAGGTTCATCAACGAGATCATCCTAAGTGGTGAATGCAGAGATGATGAAGCAGCATGGCGAGTTTGGACCATCTGACAACGATATTCTCAATTTGGTGAAAAGAACTATCGCAAAACTAATGGACAATGACTGGCATTGGAAACCTCCTCGGATCATGATGCCTTACAACATCCTCACTTATCCTTCTTCTCTGCATCCAAGCCAAATCCATCACGCTTTTCCGCAGTAAGTTGGCCAGGAAAGTTCATGGAATTGATGCTTGCTGTCCTGGCAATACGTTCGTTCCAATCTTCTGCCAATGTCGGCTGTGAAATACTATTCCTGTCGGTGGATCGATCTGTCCCTTGAGATCCTGGTTTTGAGGTTCCGTTTTGAGATCTCGGCTGTTTGTCTGACATGATGGTGGATGCTCAGGAAAGTTGGCTCGATTGGAAGGGTTGCTTGGAGCTGAGGATGGTTGCGGCTGGATCTATGATATTATGTGGTTGTCGAATCAAGGAAACGAATGGTAGAGACTTGGGCTCAAAAGGAGAAATCAGCTTGTCTTGTACTTGAAACCCTTCAAAGTCTGCATAAAGGACGCTTAGTATCGATTGTCTCCACACATCGACCAGAGCAGCCTTCATGGGACCCTGCGTCGAAGAGGTTGACCATCTTTTATTCATCTGTCAGCGCAGCGGCTGAGATGTACATCTCATTCCACCGGTCCTGGATTCTGTCAATTGACGGGTCCTTGTACCCTATCAGGCATCTGCATGGGCCAGGCTTTACATCAGTAGTCTTCACACACCCTTAGGGTTGGAGAGTATTTCAGACCGTCAAAACTGACCAACTGTGACCGACGTGGAAGGCTCTTCGCTTACAGGATACATAGGCACCCTGCCCTGGAGGCAAACGACAATCATCTGGGCATTGGGAAAACTAACTTAATAGCATTAGCCAGAGACGGCCCGATACTCCGCCAGCTAGCAGCATGGGTAGAGAGATGAATAACATGTACCTACATGCAGAAGTCCCTCCTTGGGCCACAATCTGGTTGTTGTCGGTCGGGGATGCAAGATCGTATTTCTGCAGATGTCAGCAAGTGTGTCGAACCTCCAAAGAATCGCGACGTGTCCTTTAGCCAGTTGAACAAATACAGCAACCACTAGCTAAAAAAGGTTTGATAATGAAAGAACCGCGAAGCAAGAAGGAGAAGGAGATTGACATAGTGCGATGATGTTGTCTAAGGTTATCGTTTGTGTACACGACGGCCACCAATGAAAAGAGGTTGCACCACTGCCAAGCACGGCAAAATTCTGCCAATATTCTGACGGATTGCTAACAAAGTCTTAACTCTTTCCTGACAAAATTTTGACAGAATTACGACACCGAGTAAGCGGCGCTGCCATGTCGCGCAGCAGTTCAATATCTATCATCGAGGCGATGCAGAAATTGCGGGACGCGGCCAAAGCAATTGAGCTACGTGAAGGTGTTAAACCTCACGAAGAACGCCGTGTTAAAGAAGCCTTGATATTGTTAGCGAACGATACTGCGCCTCAAGCCCTGGGCGCAAGAGCACAGTCAACTTATTTGGACTTTTTGAAGAAGGTTCAAAAAGTTGCGAGCCTGAGCATGGTTGTCCTTTGCGTTATTGGGCTGGGAAAATCAAGGATCGGATTTCTCAGAGAGAAGGTTCGCCTGGACCTACCTTACGAGATACTTGAAAGTATAGCCTCGTTGGACAGTGAGTGCCTTCGGAGACTTGTGAAAGAACTTCATGAGAAATGTAGGATTGCATTTGACACCTTTAGAAGATGATTCGGCTAAATTGCGCATAGATGATCACTCTTCTCTTCAGAAACATCAAGAAATCCAAGGCCGTGCAGACGAAGATCAGCTGCCTCAGAGTCAAGTAAATGTCGAGACACCAGGTTTCACTTCGACTGTGAAAGATTTTGCAACAGTTGCAACGACAGATGATCAATCAACGGACTCTGTCACTCTGGACCTGACGTTGCTGCATTTGATCCAATTTTTCCAAAATCACATTCCCAGTGATGTGAAATTGCGGATGATATGCCCTTTATATGGAATACCATTGCCCACCATTCAAATCAGATCCCAAGCTCCCACAGCGCTGGATGTCAAAGTCGAATTCGGTCTCAGATCCAGTGAGGCTTTGATTCGCCATGTTCTAATGACGAGAGAACCACCTCACTGAGGGACGACCAAATAACCTACACGTCTCATCCTTCCGCAGGACAATGAGAACGACTTTTGCTTCTTGTGAGGGCCCGGTCACGACATTCGTCACCGGGTCACTGTACACTCTGACTGCCCCCGCGGCGCTGTTCTTTTGGATGAGGACTGCACAGACCGATGTATCCGGGCTCTGGAAATTTTCACCTGCTTTCCAACTCTCGTCCAAAACAACCTCCTCATTTGCAGATATTGACGCCAGGCGCTTGACTACTTGAACGAGCTTATGGTCATCATCTTTTATGTTGTCGACATCTTCCACCCGTTCCTGCATGACAATGGAATGGCCTCTCAGCTAGAATGTGATGAGGTCCTGTAGTCGGGTACGGAGAGCTCTGCCCGTGTCGCTGTGGCGACGCGACCGACTCGTGCGTTCGCAATCGGCAAATCCGAACACGTTTCTTTGATTGGAAAATGTAGACTGCAAGCAGATTTAACACATTACTCATGTTCCAAATGACAAGACTGAACCTACGTTTTACGTGACAAACAAGGTAGGCTGTAGTATAGAAGTGCAATAAATTGATGATATGCCTACAAGTCGGGCAGTACTCTTCACAAATGTTTGCTGCAGGTGCAAATGGTCGCACGAAAAAAAGAGTCCAAGGCTGGCGTAGGCATCTAGAGGGGTAAACTAGCCCCGCACGCAGGATTTAAAATTCTGCGTTGGGCAGCTCACATGGTTCTTCAGAAGTGCGACTGCCTCCGTTTAGTGCCGAAGTACTGCACTCTATATCGGCATTCGGTAGCGACACCCGAGTTGAATTTGGAAAGACACCCGCGAGTGGAATGACGTCTTGGTGACCTTTCGAGGCCCCAGACTTTTCATTCGTCCCTGGCTTTGCAGTGCGGCCCGTCAGTAACCTGAAGATGAGATAGCGGTCCAAGAGACTTGATTGGATGGAACGGTCTTGGCAGAATTTTTGCCAGAAGGCTGTCAGAAATCTGTCAGAAATCTGTCAGACTCTTTTCCCCGGCAGCTTCTCAAAGTGGCAAAGGGTGCTCAATCGGGGCCGTCTTCACCCTTGATTATGCGAGTTTTTGAAATGGTCGATGGCTGCTGTACCTTTGGCTGGTGAATCGTCCATAGGCAACAAATCACTGCATGTGTGACAAGCAGAATATCCTATTCCGTAGACATGGATGTAGGCCAGTAAGCATGAGCCACATCACCTCCAAGTTGCGTCTAAAGCCCAGCCCTGGATTGTCATGGACGAAGAGTCCATTGCCGTGGTTCTTAATGGCTTGGTCGGCCGGCCTACACCGTATCATCCGCTCTGCAAATACTCGTCAGGATAGCTCAATCCCTCCAGACATTGTCACACTGGCACACTGCCAAGTTAAGTTCTTGCTGTAAAATGTCTCTTCTCTTCAACCCCGATAAAACAACCAGGAAAACCTTATTTGCGTTATGGAAACACGCACATGCAAAGGGTGCAGGTGAACCAGAAACGCTGTCGTTCTGGCAGCATCTACTCGCGAAGCATGAGTTCTCGGAAGAATACTGGATCATCGACGCTGAAATCAGGCCCGAGCCGGGAAGTCGTTCACGTGTCGACCGTGGCATCCGATATATGTCCGCTGATGATCAACTCCTGGTTCTCACCTTTATCGAAGCAAAGGGGGTGACTATGGAGAGCGCACGAAAGGAGTCTGAGAGACAGGCCTTGAACGCCTGTCAAGCATACCTCCAGAGCCATTCATGGCAGAAAGAGATTTATGCCATGACTATACTGGAGACGACAGCAAAGGTGTGGACATATCAGCAAGGCTCAAAAAGGCTCGAGCCTATGCACGATGATCATTACATCGAAGCGAATTCTTCGGAGGGCTCGCAACTTAGGAAATGTTTTGAGAGGATGAAGAAGTTTACCCATGCTCCGATTGCCGACGCTCCAAATCTCCATGTTGCAACTCAGCCAAACTTACCCCCAACAAGAGCAGCCGAGATTACAACCACTTCTTTTCCAGCTTCTGGCCCGAGCTACTCAAACCCGATTTTTCCACGGGACCAAGCACCCGGTTCCTACAAACAAACAGTTACCACTCCAACGTATGGAGATCTTTCGCTCAACAGGTCCTCCGGGGCCCAAACATCCGGGTCCTATAGACAGATCACTCATGGAGCAAAAGCGACTGAAAGCGGGAAGCATTGGCTGGACAGCTTTACTCACGTCACTGCGAAACAAGACAAGAGGGAAGGAAAGAATGGGATTCTTTACAAAGTGAGAGGAGGCTGGGGCGAAGCTAGTGACTGTCGCCAAGGTGAAAAGGACAGCAAGAAAGTGATCTTCTCCAGAGAAAAGAAGGTGTGGGCGTTCCAAGACGATATAATGCAGTACCGTGATATGTAGTAGGACTATTTCACCTGAGTATCCCAATTTGATCTCCATTCGGTCCACACCACCATACCAGCTTGCCCTCTCGGGGAAGATCATACCACTTATTGATGTCAAGTACCACATCTGATCGTTTTCGAAACTCAACGAACAAGGCTTTTTGAGTCATTCCATTCCGGACGACACAGTCTCGAATGTCCCACTTCTCTGAAAGATGCTTGTCGAATCGAACTTGCCCGAGCGCTTCCCTGTCGCCATTGGAATGTGTTAATAAAACGCCTGAGCAGTGGTTGACACTGGTATTATCACTACACACTTCAATCATCGTGTCTGGCTCGAGGTGAGATTTGCTAAAACACCATCCTTCTTCGGGACTACCAAGATCTGGGCAAGGAAGAGACTCTCCGGGAGAAATATTGAAAAGAGTTCGCTGGCAGGGATTCGAAGCTGATATCCCAATGTTGGACAACGCGGCAACGGAGTCGCTAGGAGCGAGATGGAACAAACTTTGAATGTAACCGTTGGAGATAGGGTGTAGAGCTTCGTATTGAAAGTAATCTTCATTCTGTGGTTGCGGTCCAAAAGAATAAGTTCGCTGAAGGCTGGTGGCGACCTAAAGTTTTATTAGTGACATATTCTGATAGGGATTCTAGACGATACCTGAATGACTGGATGATTTGTTGGAAAGCGTACACCTGGAATCCGACGAACCGCAACGGCGTGAATTTTTTCGCCCTGGTGCAAAGGAAAATACAAAAAGATCAGATTGCTTTCCGGGTATTTTCTCTTCAACCCGGAGGTGAATGACTTGAACGCTGTCTCTGATAGTGGTCTATGACAGAAAAGACCGATAGTTCGAGAACCTAGAACGGCGCCGGTGAGACCTGAAATGTCCCTCATGTCGTGGTATTCATATCGCGTGAAGCCAGACGGCGGGCGTTCGAAGAGCCAATAGGTGTTTGGTCCGGGTAATGACAGTGTATTCCATTCCATTACATCACTCAAAGTCCTCTTGGAAACGAGCATTCTAAGAAAACGGCCCTAAGAATTGTGAGCAACGGCATCAACTGAACCGGGGTGCACTAACGTCTGAAAAGACTTGAAACTTCACCTCATTTGTGCCGGCATTTCGCAGATCGATAGTATGATAGAATGTTGACTGTGATGCTACTCCGTCGGTTTCAGCTTCTTTTCTGGTGCCGTAAAGGTTCAAGATGGCAAAGTGGTCCCGGCGTATCAACAGCTGATCTCTAAGGGGTATTGATTTCCTCCATCGGGGCGGTGGATTTGTATGAATACCGGCGAGATAGTCACGTCCCTCATACTTGCTAAATGTTAAGTACAGGATCATGCCGATTCTGAGGGAGTTGGTTTCGGTCCAACTGGGCTTGGGGAACATAGCGTACTGCGCGACGGCTGATATCGCATATGTGAGAGAGACAAGCTCTGGAAACTGATCAAGGTAGGAGTAAATCTCCTTGACAATCTCAGGTGGGAGCTTCCCAAATGGACAAATAAACAACTTTTGAAGCTTTGCGGTGAAAAGGTTCGATGCTTCTCCCTCTGAACGTACTAGAGGCCGAGCCGAAATCGCAGCTCTGCATAGGTCGCGAAAGGAGACCTTGCCACCCTTGAAGACAAGGGGACAATACTGCTTCAATACAGCTGTACATCGCGTATGAATAAAGAATGTTCTGGTTCCGATTTTGTAGCATCTTAGGCAATACATCTGTCCTTTGTGTTTTTTAACTTCGCGAGGTTAGAAAGCTTTTGTCAACACGGATATTCAAACTTACGTGCATAGTCATCCGACTCAGCGAATGAGCAGAACAGACAGGCATCTTCTCCTCTTCGGCAGCCACAGATTGTAGCACGAGGCATGAGAGCAAGCGCTTTGAGGTTTCAAACCATAATAACTGATGAAAAGGAACGAATGTTGACCAGCCCCGGACACCTTGGTTTTAGGTATTCATGTCCAGGAAGGTGTGCCGAGGGCCATATCACGTGAGTTTCAGCTGCAGCCAGCACGAGCCAGCTGCCTGCGAGCATGTATTCTAATTAATTACTCCGTACTGAGTACACGAATCTTCGACAGCAGTGAACACACGTCTATCGGGCTGTCGATCCTGCCCTTTGCTCTTGTGCGCCACGCCCTCACTTGTTACGTAGTAATGCGCCTGAGCAGCGGTGTCCGCACCCGTTATGCAGGCCTGTGTAGATTTGACTTAATCAGAGTCGACCTCCCCTATAGCTGCAGTTGTTGGGTGAGCGAATCGCCATCATGCTATCCGCTCCAGATCGGTCTTGATATCAACATAGAAGTTAGTGGTTTACATGTGTCAACCGGAGATATATGTTTAAGTGTGGTTTCCACATTCGCTCCGAGGAGAGCTGCTTTAAATGCATTCACGAATCCGTATGGTACTCTTCCTGCTCGGGGCTTTTTGTTCTTCGGAATACAAATGCTAACAATAACCGAGAGGGTTCCCTAAGTAGCCAGGCACTACTCAAGCATGGCCGGCACGGTGGCATCACGATATCGCATTGACAGTGAACCCTTGTTACTAAAGTTCCATTTGTGTTCATGAAGGAAGGTATTCTTATAGTCTCCAGATTTCGATAATTCAAGACTGAGAACTACGTTCGTTCTTATCAAACTCGGTGGAAATCCACCTCGCAAAATCATCACAGGGAGCCCTATATATGTAGTCGAAGCCGAAAGGAAGTTCCGGTGGTGGCTCTATGTTAATCCACAGAAGTTTGGCGAAGTGGCCGAATTTGTGAATCAATCTTGTGACAGAAGGAATCTGCAAGCTAGTTCCTACCACGAGAACAAGATCTGGTCTTGATTTGATATCCTCTTGCTCGGCATTACCGATAGCAAAATCGTCTCTGACACTTTCGTCGTAAAGTGTAAAACGGGGCCTCAGCCCATGTTTACGGGTCTGCCTACTGCACCGCGGGCATAAAGGCATGGACGGTCCTACAAATAAAGCCCTATCAAGATTACTGATCCTGTGGCACTTCGTACATTCCATTTTACTGATAGTACCGTGAAGCTGAATTGTTTTCGGCCAAGGGCCATGTAAAGGAAGCGGCCTTTCAGTGGTTAGATTAGGTATTGAGACGTCCAAATCATCGATGTTCATCGTAAAGAGACGTTGGAGTTTGCCTTTGGCCGCAATTCGATCCAAGAAATGATGAAATGGGGTAGGTCGTGCAGCATCAACAAGTTCTATGAAGTTACGAACAAAGCTGTGCAGTGCTGCTGTGGTGCTTTCATGCTCGTAGACGGACGCGGAAAGGATCTCCTTGCCTGAGCCTTCGGCAAGGCCATGTTCCATCTCAAGCCGTACAAAGAGTCCCTGAGCAGAACGGAAATCCGGAACTGGTGTAATGTTAGTGTTCAGGATTTTGACAAATAGGGCTTGTGCTTACTTCCTGCAGATGTTGAGATACCTGCACCTGCGACACAGACAATCCGTTGTGATTCTCGTAACGTCGCAGCTAACTCCTCCAGCGAAGGCCGACCGGGACCTCTTGTCCTAGAAAGTTCCACACTCGCCTGCGGACCATTTACCGTGGTATGGTCATTCAATCTTGGTTGGAGACACACGTTCAATCTATGCGCCGGATTATCCGGGCTTGCATTGACTGATTTTGACGGTGTATGCTCAGTACGATCGCCCTCTCTTAACCTAAAGACAATATGGCCCAGGCGTAATCTTTCATGCCTGTGAGCAATGGCCTCTCCGATGAAAACCCTCGTGCCACCTTCCGAGTCACATGTTTCACAGATATAATGTGGTGTTTTCTTGTGACGTACAAGATTCTTGCGCTCCTGAGTAGGGCATCGTGAACACCAACAAGGCTTGGGTTTGTTTCGACAGATTGAAGGGGTCGGCGGACGTGTAAGGGGTTGGGTGGTAAAAGGATGGCGATGTTGCCATTGCAAGGTTCGAGGGGCTACCGCTTGACACCCCAGGCATTTGTAGTGAGGCAGATTGTCGTGTTTTTCCCGGCGGCGTGTAGACTTTAGGCAGTTAGGATACAAGCATGGTCTTCTCACCATAGGTGTAAATCCTAGATAGAGGTGGCAGATGAAGATAGGTGGTGGCAGATGAAGATAGGTGGTGGCAGATGAAGATAGGTGGTGGCAGATGAGGAGAGGTGGCAGATGAGGAAGAGGTGGCAGATGAAGATAGGTGGCAGATGAGGAAGAGGTGGCAGATGAGGAGAGAGAGGGTGGTAGATGAGGAGAGGGTGGCAGATGAGGAGAGGGTGGCAGATGAGGAGAAGCCTCAATAGTACAGTACCTAAGCGGGATCTAATTAGCTCTGCCACTCCAACACCCGCTCACGTCAACACCCTTCAATTTCTAATTGCAATCGCCTACACCACTTTTCCGTAGGCTATTTCGTTAAGATAAGTGTTGTGATTGTCTAGCCTGACAGATCTCAAAGTGCCACATAAGCCGGTGTAGCCGGAGATTCCGGGGACGTAGCTGGCCAGAACTTCGATACATTCGAGCTCATGGCAGCGATACAGTAACAGATCGTTTCCAGCAGTTGTTGTAGGGTGGCAGGAGACGCGGAGAAGCTTAATGGCATGGCGGAGTTGGATTCAAATGCGGGCACATTGTTCACCCCTTAGAGGCATAGCCATGACCTGTCCACGCCTGCATTCTGGCCATCCGCGAGGTGGGGCCTTTTGAAGCGTTGGCTGGACAAAAGTGCATATGTTCTTTGGCTGCCTGACCGTGTATCTCCTTCCTCTCTTACAAAATACTGCATCTCGAATAACCTATCAATCCGGAATACCGGGACAGTGCTCAAGGTGTGTAAGGCGGTGGAGGCTCGAGGTTTTCGAGGAGGTGGAAAGACTGGCAAATCGCCACCCCGTACCTCATCAAGCCCCAAATATCCCATCTTTGGCACTTAATCATTAGAGGCAGGTTCTGAAAAGCGGCGGCCTCGTTAGAGCCGGTTAATGACCTCTGCTGGTTCCACGGTGTCATCCGAAGTCCAATGGCAAAATTCCTTTCTGCCTCGATACGAGCGAGAAGACTTTCCGTGAGGTCAAGAGCCTGACTGATATCCATTTGAGCGAATGATACTGTTTCGAGAGAGGTAGCAGCACAGACTGCGTTATGTTCTCTTGCGGTCCTGTTTCCATAGAATTAGTTACTGTATTCACAGAGACATCGGTGCAGGGAACCTACAGCCGGAGTTCCTTTATAGCGATGGCGATGGCCGAAGCGTAGAACTCTGTCAACAGAGTCCATTCCCTCATGGTCAGACCTCGTTCGCTGGCGACTGCTCGAGACAGAGAGTCGGGCAAACGGGATTCAAAACGGTCGTCTGGCTCTGAAAGAAGCCCACTCAAACTTCCATACACTGTGTGACAGGTCGCAGTCAAGACACGCAGACGCCAAGAACAACGGGAATTCAGCGAGATAGACAAAACAGTGAGCGTGAAAGAGAGCCGTAAGAGTGCGTCGACAAGGTCAGTAGCCTCAGCGTCTCGATTCAGAATATGAGACAGCGTTTCCACATATTGACGTGCCCCTAGGGTGTCTCTCCATACCGTACAATGCCGTTCCATCTCGTCCTTTGGGAGATCAGCACATTCATCTAGAAGGAAAATAGAGAACACTTTCCAATGTGAGCGTTTACGCTGGGACTGAAACTGCATCTCATATGAGACCTCACCATCAAATAAGCTTCGACAGACGGAACAGCATCTAGCCGCCGACCGGGTCGGGACCGGTGTGATGGCCAGGAATTGTCCCTCATCTCTTCAGTTTGAGCCAATAAAAGCCGTGTTCAGTTCAATCCTTGCATCCTGCCCAGTGACAACAAGTGGAGCAATGTTTTGAACGAAGGCAGCATGAAAAAGGTGTCCTTTTTGGGGCCCAGGTTGATGTACATCAGTCGTTACGAATCGGACGTCCGTCAGAAACATTTGGCGCTTCCGGCTCGGTCCATTATTACTGCCGTGCGGACTCCTGCGTTGCAACAGAAGGGAGGCTGACGTTTGACAGTTGAATCTTGTTTCATGCCTTACAAGATGATGTATTCCAGTGTACTTCTGGATAAATGCACACAAACCGGCCTTGCGTAATCCGGTGACCGTGACAGCGGAGGTAGTATATATACTTTGACCGGCCTGCTTGTTGAACCGTACGGCATCATAGAACAACGTCTTTCGAGACTCGCTGTTTCCCAGGAAAATTGCCGTGCGGAGGCCAGGGAAGGTGCACATGCTTCAAGGATCGTGCTTCGGGTACAGCCGCGTGGTAGTGTCGACCCTCCAAGACGGTTCGACAACGCTCAAACCACCAAAATGAATTTGAGGAAGTCCCTTAAGACCGTCGATAGAGACCTTGAACTTGCATAGACTGGGTTCCCCAGAGAATGTCTCCTAAAAGGGAGAATGGGCTGGTGCCATGTGGAGACTTCCCGGGCGTCATTGTCGGAGAGTTGAATGCAGATGTGTCATAAGACCGTGACCCGTCTCTGTCCCCTTGCATAGAAGCATGACCAGACCATTGAGGATTGTCGACCTCCATCGCATCAGAAGAGTGAAGGAATTTACCTAGGGCTGCAGTGGCCCTCGCGATAGGAGCTGGCACCTCGGACGGAACAGTGTCGGAGTTGAGATTCGTCATGACTGTCAAAAGGTCATTGAGCAGAGTATGGACACGTTGGTTCTTCGCGTGCTCCTTTATGATGCCCAAAAGGAGGGCGGAGCTTAAGGCCCTTTGCGTCGCGATCCAGGACGTTCTCGTTGTTGAGGACACATTTTGGAGGCCTAAATAAGCGTGTACGGTACTGGCCAGGCTATCGACGCATGCATCTCGGAGATGAGCCAGTGCTGTGTCGGTTTGGTTCCGGAGAGTGGCGCGGTGCAGGTCGAACATAACGTAGGAAAGATGCAGTGATAGATTCCAGTGCTCGAGTTGGTCTCTCATACTTTTGGATGCGGACACATCGGTGAGGTGCGGCGCTGCTTGGCCCAAGATGGCCGTCAGCCTGTCTCGGTGCTTGAGAATAAGTGAAACTTCCTGGCTTGCGCTGACGGAGACTGAACGATCGCGGACAATGTCAAGAATGGCTGCGCAAAGTCTCTTCATGCAGTTGATATAGGACAGTTTATCCGAATCGTGCATAGAAACATGATGCGGCCGCGTCGTAGCGATTGTGGAAGTTGCCGGGGATCGGTCGAACAGGATAGAGAGCAGACTATCCTGCCACACAATCTGCCACCTGCGAGTAGTTAGTGGAGGGCACCGAACACTTGCTTACGACTAGTTTTGACGTACCATATCTCTTCTCGGAAACGTCCCTCGTCCGGCGATGCGGAGAACTCTGCCGGTTCATGCAAACCAATGGTCTGAGCCAATCTGGTGGTAAGCCCTAAAGATCGTCAAAACTCTACATTGGCAAAATATCTACGGTGGTGGTAAAGGTACCAAGCAATGACCAGGCCACGCCGGCATTCATGCTGTTGGCGATGACATTCCCCACCACCAACAGGGACTGAATGTCCACGGGCGTTGGCCTTGACAGATGATTGCTTATTCGCAAACACTCATAGGCACAGCACACTTTAAGAATTTGATCAGCACACCATAAGCACTCGGAAGGGCTGGGCGCGAAGTTTACCGTAGACCTGTGCAGTCAGTTGACGTTCCTTTCGTGGAAGAGATGAGCACTGGCAACCCGAGGCTAGACATGCAAAGAGGAGGCTGAGCCAATGGACGGTTTGGCCGTATATGTCTGAATACTGATCAACATAGGCATGGACCTGCGAAGGACGGCTTGACCGCGTAACGAGGAACCTGGACATTTCAGCCTCAAATTGGTCGATATTGACCACTGCAGGATACAGGACGTTAGCATTATCGCGATAATGTCGCAGATGCTGGAAGCAATCGGCATCTGAGGGTATCAATTTGCAAACTTCCTTTAACCGCGAAGACGTATCGGTCAAGCCCCAGAGGTCGGTGAAAGGGTAGGTCGCAGACTCATTGTCGAGGCCAAACAAAGGCAAAACACTATAGCCAACGACGTTTTGCATGGCCTCTCCATCGTTCCCATTGCCCAGAGCCAGGGCCATGGCGGGGACGGAATCACATCCCAGGTACACTGAGCCGTCTGCCACCAGACCACTCTTGGCCGGAAACGCAGGTACCACTGTCGTATTCGCTTCTCTTGTACCCTGGCTAGAGGAATTCCCCTGTCTGACAGATGGTGCGGTTTCGGCCGGCGACGTACCATGGCCGGCTACTTCATTCTTGATGTCTCGGAGGAAAACCTCGACAGTCTGCAGTTTTGACCAAAGCTGCTTCCAGTCTGGGCCGGCGCGATACGCACCATGACTGGAACTGGAAATAGGAGGATTGGAAAGAGGCTCAGTCTCGGTCGTCTCTTGGGGAGGTTGTTGGTAGGAACAAAGATCTACGTGGTTTCGATCGATGCAGCGTTGACAGGGCGTTTCGTAATTACATTTGACTTTGCGCTGCCGGCAAGGGTAGCACGCTCGTCGCTCGCGAGCCTTGCGTTTCCGGCGTAGAATCTGATTGACTTGCGCCGGCGAAACGTAGCCCTCGTCTCCATCAGGCTGATGCCTAGCGTCCATCGCTGTAAGGTTTGATGAAAGAAAGTGGACTGATGGTAGAGTGAAAGAGACACCGTCAAGTGGTGTGAAGGCACAATTGGGCACAATTCTCCGCAAACCACAAGCCGACATTACCTCATGGCTCGGAGATATCGCGTATCTCGGCGTAATGTCGCTTACTGATTAGAGTCGCTGAAAACTCTTTCTGCAACAAAGGGACCGTCTAGGATTGGTAGCTCATAATACCGTTGTTCCCGAAACCGCCCTACCCTTTTGCAGTGCAACTTTCACGCCAGAAGCTAAGAAAATAAGTGGGCCGTGCTTGCTGATTCTGAGGTAAACCTATCTAATCCAACCACGAATCACCGACAGGCAGTTTTTGATACCGTACAAATCATACCGTACGGTCCCTGTAGTGATCAAAATCGTTGTGGAGGATCACCCGCATACACGTGACCTGAACCTTGGCGTGCGCAGCAGACACGATCACGGTCTAGAAACGACTGCACTTGTGGCGGCGAGGTCCTTGCATGGTCACGAGAATGGATTCAGCTATCTCAGCCTGACCATGGTCGCTCTTGCCTGCTGGCCAGCAGCTCTCAAATCGCTACACAAAGGTTGCCTGCATGCCAAATTGTACATTGGGCGCTCTGTGCGGAGTTGGAGACAAGCATCACTCAACTCGTTAACGCCCACCTCAAGATGTCCGGGCTGGAAGTGATTGGCGCCATCTCCGCCGTCATCGGTATCGTTGATGCCTCGATCAAAATCTACGAGAGCGCACAGAAAGACGTGAAGCTGTCCGACACCTTCCATATTGTAGGCCGACGGCTTCCCATCGTCCTTGACACTCTCCAGACCTGCAAGACCCACCTACAACCGATCCGAGACTCCTTGCCTGCGGATGTGTGCGCAGCCTTAGAGAAGAACCTGGAAGGATGCGATGAAAAGGCGAGAAAATTGAGCAAATCTTTGAAAAGGTTCTACCTGGAGGAAATGGTGCGTGGGAGCAACGGTACATAAAGGTCGTCAAGAGACTCGGCAAGGGCAACAAGGCGGAAGAGCTGATGGTGTCGATCACGGAAGACGTTCAACTGGTGGTCAACCATCATGCGGCCAAGTCTGCCAGACCGGAGCAAATGGCGGAGCTAGAGAAGATCGTCCAAGAGATGAAGTTGACGCGGTCGTCGCTGCCCGAGGAGGAGGGCCCATGGATGACATTCAACAGTCAGGGCGGGGCGCAGACGAACAACGTCAATAGCGGCAGCGGGCAACAGATTAATAATAATGCGGGCGTGGGAACTCAGAATTTTGGTAAGAACTAGCCGTGAGGAGGACCTTTCTATTACACGGTGGGATAGAGAAAGGCGGGTGGACGGTGGTTCGTTTGGCGTCTGCGAATACGCCTCAAGCTGCATACTTTTATAGATTCGCGAATGGATACTAGGGGTCTCTCTAATCACTAATCTCTCAGAATACATGTCCTGTTTCCGCGCGTGATTAATTATTTGAATTCTTGTGGACCAAGCTAATCGTCTTTGATTATATAGTTATCAGACAGAAGGCGGGTTTGAGCTTCCAAAATCCTGTCGGACTCTGCCTCGGCCAGGTACCTTATATCAACACGGAACTCTTCATTGGACGAGAGTCTGAGATTACCCAAATGCGAGAGATTCTGCGACCCGGTGACTTGTCTTCAGAACAGCGACGGCTAATACCTGGGGGGACGGGTGGGATGGATAAGACGCAGGCCATCGCGTTCGCGAAGCGCCACCAGCATGAATACGACTCAGTGTTCTGGCTCAATGCAGCATCCGAGGCTACGCTCAAGGACAGTTTCCGGCTCGTGGCCGAGGCCATCTTTGATATCCAAGACGCGCAAGTGCTGCAGGATGAGCAGAGCCTCATCCAGATACGGCGATGGTTGTCCGACGAGAAGAATATCCGATGGCTGCTCATCTTCGACAACCACGATGACCCAGATCGGTACCTAGTTGAACGATATTATCCATATGTCGCTCACGGGCCGTTCATCGTGACGACTCGGCGGCCGGATCTCGTGGCGGGGTCGGAGCTTCGCCTGCAGTCTCTCCAGAGCGTGAAAGAAAGCCTCGACATCCTAGAGACACGGTCTCGGCGGGAAAATGTCAAGTTTGGCAAGTGTGTCGATGCCGTCTAAGAGCAACTTACTTATTGTCACTCTTCAGATATTCATGCGCGGCGGCTGGCCGAGCGACTCGCTGGCCTCCCCCTAGCCTTGGCCACCGCCGGGGCCTATCTTCGCCGATGCGCCTTCACTTTTGAGCGGTACCTCGAGGAGTATGAGCAGCACTGGAATATTGACCCACGACGACCCCTTCCACTCCAGAAGTATCAGGAACGCACACTCTACACCACAAGGGATGTCTCACACACCCGCCTCCAAGGCGAAGACGCGGACGCGGCGAAGTTGTTGGGCTTGCTGGCATACTTTGGCAATCGACGGCTCTGGTACGAGCTGTTTCGGGCGGGGCTCTCCGACGACGCAGCGCCGTGGCTGTACGAAGTGATTTCCAGGGATGTCGAGTTCGAGAGCACGGTGAGAAAGCTGACGAGCTACTGCTTCCTGGAAGTACAGACGGCGGTGGCGTCGTGGAGCATGCACACGTGCGTGCACGACTGGACGTTAGCGGCTCTCAACGAGGTGGTGGATGAGAGGCAGTATTGGTACACTTTCGATTGTGTGGGAGCATCCATTGAACAAGAAGACATGCGCTACGGTTAGGACACGTTAGCGACCATCGTGGTGCAGTCATGAAGAGTCTTAACAATAAGCGACTGCGTAAAGCTTACCTCATTGCTGAACTGTTGACCCAACAGGTTCAGCTTACAGCAGCGGAGAAAATGTACATGTTGACACTGGCTAGGCATGAAAAGGCGCTGGGAGCGGATCACATGTTGACACTCCTTACGGTTAACAATCTGGGAAATCTATACGCTAACCAAGGCAAGCTGGACGAGGCGGAGAAGATGTACCAGCGGGCACTAGCTGGGTATGAGCAGGCACTAGGACCGGATCATACGTCGACACTAGACGCGGTCAACAATTTCGGAAATCTATACACTCACCAAGGCAAGCTAGACGAAGCGGAGAAGATGTACCAGCGGGCGCTGACTGGAAGCGCCGGGATCCAAATTGATCACGTAGCTCGACGAGAACGTGGCATGACCGGATGTGTCGCAGGATCAGGGTATGGGATCTGGGTACAGGACACTGTCCCGCGGAACGATGTTGATTCAATGACCTGCCAGCTCGTCCCCTGGAGTCGAAGGGCCCTGCATAGGTCTAGGCTACCAACCCAGACCGAGCGTCCCGATTGTCATTGAACCGGGCCCGAAAATCTTCCCACGCAAGATCTGGAGGCTGACTGGCCAGCCAATTCCATCGGCTAGCAGGGGCCTTGCTCGGTCGACACGCTGAGTGCCCTCGAGGCCTAGCATGTGGCGTGGCAGTGCCGCTAACACGGCCCTTTGTACGTCATCGAAAAATGGCAGTTGGCTCCGCACAGGCATGACCGTGCATGGAGCAAAAACCGCAAATTCTTTGGCACTTGCCACTCGAGCCAATAATATGGCGCGGAGTTCCATTTCCAAACAATCGACTCTGCAAGTTCTGACAAACTCGTTCATTATAAACAGTCCGGATCAATTATCCAGTTTCTTCGATTTCCCAGGTTCTCAACTTTTTGCCTCTGTAAACATCGGCTTCCCCTTCTGTGTTGTTGGCCTTCGAGCCTGACATTCCGCACTTCATGCAACACGTTTGATCTTTATACCCAGACATGTCCCCAATCTTGGGCTGTTTTGGTGGCAAGCCAGCGGCAGCTCTCGCATTAAAGAAAGAAAGAAAAAGTTCCCGGACAGCGGCCTATTTCCCAAAGCGTCAGATTTGTTTCTTAAGTGATTGCCAATGATCCGATGAAGAATGTTGCCATTGACCAAAGATGCACTCGCCGCCAAAAGCACTGTCGATTCAACCGGCTAAGGAGCGCCAACCACTCAAGCCAACGACCGCGAAAAAGCGACAATCAAGTGCCAGAATCTCGGCGGCCTGCGAGGCATGCAAGAGGCGAAGGACAAAATGCACTGGCGGTCCGCCACCCTGTAAGCTTTGCGAAAACCTAGGCACCGAATGTGTCATTGGCCTTTCGTTCGACATGCGGCGTCGCGCGGCGCTCCAGCGCATGATCGATGAGTCCCGTTCATATCAGGAAACTCTCAATCGGTTAATGGATAGCATAAGAGAAGGTCCCTCACCTCGGCTGACATCGCTGTATGACATTATCAAAAGTAGCGGCAGCAATCAGGACTCTGCAGCGGCCATTCAGCACTACCTGAGAGACAGCGATGAGCAAAGTTCTGATCATACCATGATCTCGAATGGAGATATTGTCGAGTCGCCGCTCCCGGATGGAGCAGGGAAGGTAATGAGTCGTGATGGCGATCTGGACAGCCCCAGCGCCAGTGGCGGCGCATCGCTCAAAGGCGACGAGATTGACAGTCAGAAAATAATGGAGCCTCCCTCACGCGTCGGATCTGTGCCTTTGCAGCTTGCAAAGGCGAAGCAGAGATCGGAAACCCCGAATATCGAGTGGTTGCTGATGGCGCTCAAGAGTTGCTCTATATCCGACGGAGAAGAGATGCTGCGTCGCTTTGTCGCATCCGAAATGGCGGACAAGGGCTCTTCATCACCATGTTCGACGGCGTCCGGTAGAAGCCTCTTCGAGAAATTTCAGCCCATAAAAGTCCAAGACAGAATGGCAGAACGCTCCAAGTGGCATCCAGCACTGCAACTGCGATCACCAACTGTTTTCGTAGAAGAAAAGTCACAGGTGAGTCTCGAAGAGTCCGGTCTTTTTTGTTTGTTTTTGAGTGGTGCCCTACAGGGTTGCTTGGCATCTTTAAAGTCATTCTTGCGCCGTTCTTGCGTCTTGAAACACCCTTTGCACGTACTCTTATCGTCAAGCCCCATGGTCGCTAATTTTGCGAAGATAGGACAAGGAGCCCACAGCGACCAGCGCCGGTTGTCGGGGGCTGACGCTTCGATGGTCAGGCCGGAGCAATCCAAGATGCGGTCGCAGCCTGTATCGCGACGCCCGTCTTTCCCCCAGCCTCAGATCAACACCGATATTCCAATGTTGTCGATGCGGCAATTTTCACCGACGGCGCCATACCTCGAACACGTCTCGACGCCAGAGTCTTCGAGCTCGGTGTCGAACGGCTGGGACCTAACCGTGGCACAAGAAGATCAATCCACAAGGCTTCGAATACCCCGACACCTTGTTCTACCATTGACCATCGCCGATGATTCATACATGAGCCGGACGTATACTCACTATCTGCAAGGTGCCCGACAGATGCTGGAGACAGGCGTTCCACTGTCGAACGTTCTTGGAGTGGACGACGAGGTGCCCGTGAATTTGTTTTTCCGGAGTCGCACAGATAAGGATCAGTTTGACTGTGCATCCTGGGCGTGCGAGGTGACTCGAAGTTATGAAACCGACGTGTTTGCTCGACTGGGCACCGCGTATATGTTGACTTTCATGATGCGGGTGAGCTATGAATCGTTCTCGACTTGGCTCGCCTGCACAGTTACTAACCACTGGCCTCCATAGTGGCTTTTGGTCCCAACCGTCGAGAACTACCAGAAAGTCCCGGATATGATGAAGCCAACACCATCACAGTGCATGATTCCGCATATCGGTGCTATTGAGACTATACCAATGTGAGTCCTTGCGATTGAATCTTGGGGCTTCGCTGCTAAGCCAGGTATCAGCCCTGCCGTCCGGGATGCTAATATTCACCATCTAAGAGATTGGCTCACACCGCTGATCAATTGTAATTGGAGTGTGAACTGGCAACACGGAATGGACGCCGCTGTCCGCTGGAGTCTAAGCACTGAAGCGACGGTCTTGACGCCGGGGTTCATCCACCATGTGACTGATTATGGCAATTGGAGTCTCGGCAGCACATTTTTGGAGACTTTTCCTGAAGTGGAAGGCAAAATCAGGATACGCGACTGATGAGAAACGAAGCGATGAAACGACAGTGAGGATTTTCGAGTCTTGAAATAAGAGAGCCAAGAAGACGATGAAAAGAATGTAGCCATGCCCAAAGCTGAACAGTCAAGTCCAGCCGTATAAATTCCTAGAGACAGAGAGTTGAGGTCCTCCAGCAGTCCGTTTGCTGCGACATAAATGCAGCTTCGATGGACATAACTGTCGAGTGGTGAACAAATCCGCAATGTTGGCATTCGATGAGTCGCGAGCCACTCTATCACGAGGAACCAGCACACAAATCCCACAATGCAAGTGTACAGTAAAATCAGGGGTGACATTCTTTCGAGCCCGAGGTGGCTCAGATTCTCCTAGATTTGCCAGTGCTGAAAGGGAACCAAGATATGGTACCATGAACCTTCTTCAATGGTTGTAACGGTAATACCGCCTAAAAGGTGTTTTGTTGGACCCGTACCCATGTAGGTTTCCAACGACCGGGCGTGGGAACTATCTACATTCTAGGCCCGACCATATAGCGTTCATGAAGAACTCATGAAATGGTGCTTAAATGTCCCGGCTTGAGGTCTCCCTTGTGATTGAAGATGCTCTTTCCGCTTTGATTGTGACCAGCCTCAGAAGTCAGCCGTGCCAGTTCGTAGGAGCCATGAGTCTTTCCTGCTGTTCCAGCATCTGAACCATTGCTTGTAAGTGTGAAATCTCAGTTTTCATGTGTCGGATATCGACTTCAGTCTGATGAATATAATTGATAGCGTCATTGATGATGTCCGACTTCTTGATGTGTCTGGGTGGAGCTCTGAAATCTCGATGGTCGGAAAATTGGAAGGGGCTTACTCGCGAACCCTGTTTTGCTTCGAGCAGAGTGTGGTAGAGCTGTTTTATATTGTTGTTGAGTTTGTCGCGGTACCTCCGCTCAATAACGGTATGGGCTTGCTTTTTCTTCGTTGCTTCGTCCGAGTCTCCTACTGACGAATTTTCGTCTTTTGTCCACCGCATCTGTCGCGTGTGTTTTAATGCCTTTATCTTCGCTCCATCTTGATGACGGCGGGATCTTTTGCACGAAGCGGCTTCAGAACCCCCCCGACCTTGAGCTGAAGCTTCCGGGCAACGTCTGAAAATATCACTGTTATTCTTGAATTTTGGCGATGAAGCTGCCTCAGAGTAACAAGTAACCCCTGAGTCTATAATGGCCGAATGGTCTTGGTTAAAATTTGCACAAAAGCTGTCGCTCGTCGCAGTTGAAAGGTACGTCTTGGTTGGAAATGGCCATGGAGGATATAAAGGCAGCAATGGAGTTACGACATTACCGCCGTTAACTGAAGACCCAGAGCTGCCATCTACATCAAGAAACTCTGAATAGTCCACCATCAGATCATCGTTGGACTCATTAGGCCAAAAGACTGGGCCATCGGCGCTCATTTCGACGATGGATTGTACGAACGGCCAACGTCCGAGGCAATTTAGACAAATGACTCCACGGTTATTAGGGCGCGATGAGAGCGTTTCAAAAGAGACGGCTTGTAAGTGTTGGGAGTAATTATATGGATAAATGCACTCCTGGCGTATATGCTATTCGGCACCACTGATTGTGCCTGGTACTGTAATGAATAAATCATTGTGGGTATTTTGATAGATAAGTCTATGTTCTATCCTTGATTTTCTGCTCTCGAGAAGTGCTATTTGTTCGATCTACGATGACTGCGGGTGAGCGAACGAGCCATATAACGTCATGGGGGCCACCCAGGCTGCGATCGACAAATAATCCATATGACGTTGTTGATTAAAGAGGAACCTTTACATCCAGATATGACATTTGGGCGACACTCGTGATGGTACGTGCAAAGCGCACGTTTAGTGTGCAGATCAAGATACTGGTGCATTGGAATACTGGATCACCGAGACCGCGCAACGTAACTTTTCTAATTATGGTCCTGGCGGCTCCAGCTCGTCAGACTGATGCATGTGCGCTGCTTTGCACTACTTATGGTAACCTGCGTCACAGGTCCTCTGAATGACTTGTTAACAATCATTCCTACTTCCTTTTTCTTCTTTGCAACGTTTTCCGTAATGTCCATAAGCGGCTAAGTAGACAGTGCTCTCCAAAAATGATTTTGCCAATCTGGGCAAAGAAAGACAACTCGGACCCGCTGGATTCACCTGATGTGAATAAATCTTGTTGACGCTCGGACATGCGCGAATGCATGAAGAACTTCCTCCAAACCAGACAAGGCCATCGGCAGATCGGAATCAGAATCCCGCGTGGAGAATCAAGCCCGCCACCAGCAAAAAACACCAAACCCATAGCTCAGAACAAATCTTTGAAAACGCGTAAATTTTGGATTACCACAGTAAACCCACGCTACCTTAGGCCATTACCACGTTTGGCGCGTCGAAAGCGCGTTACTTCGTGGTAATGGTGCCTGGGTGGCCACAGGTAAAGAACGGGTCCGAGCACATCAACGAGCACAAATGTCCAGCCAAAGGCTACGCCGTGGAATTGCTCGATTGGAACTGAACGCAGTTGAGAATCCGCTGCGCAGAGCCCAAGTTGCATCGCCAACGGCACGAGATCACGTGAGAACTGTTACGTCGAAGTCTGCGAGTACGGATACCAGCCACACTTTCGACGCCGCAAATATTTAGGGGCTGTGCAAGACCGAGATTGGGCCAGGACATTCGAGTACACACTTTGGCTAGATGCTCACGCATCTCTCGGTTCCTGAGTCGCAGTTACAGTATCCTGTTCTGCGACATCGCTGAAGCCGACGTATAATGGCGCCTAATCTGACCGATTCACAGCATGCGCTGCAAGTGCAGCACATGATCTCGGATGGCTGTTTCACCTGTCGCCAAATTGGAGCGGCTGCTAACTGCAGCTTGGAGCATCCGTTTACTTGTCATGCTAGGAGAAATTTATCGTGCATTTGCGACGAAGAAGATTCGCGGTTGGGGACCAGATGTCTGCGGTCTTCGATCACAACTTCCTGGTCTGACCTGTCCTTCGTCCCAATACTCTTCACATACGTGGCGCAGCTGTGAAACAGAAGCCATGGATTGTCAGACGACGCTGCTAGCACAGCTCGACAAGCCAGACGATGTCGCTAGTCAATCGAACGATATGACTCCAAGGCCACTGTCGCCCCGACATGGAACACGTGGCAGCCGGTCGCCAGTCCCTATACGCAAAACCATGAGCCCTCTTGAACTATCATCGCCGGTGATCCGAATCTGACAACCTGGCATGGGGGCCAATCAGCCGCCCAAGGTCGCTACACTTCGCAGATTTCTGGTAAAAGAGCTGGGTACGCGGGTAATATTCCCTTGGCATTTGAGGTCAGGAGACACACATTCCCACATTTGCTATGGTGCATGAAGGGCGCCGCTCACGGTTTGGAGAGCGCGCAGGCTCAACCGCCAGCCGCCGATCCTAATGGGCTTTGACCTTGAATTCGCACTTTTCGCTCTAAGAATGCGGACCAGGACGGCCACTTACTGTTGCCCGTATCCAGCGTCATGCCCACACCATAACGATTTTCAAAAGAGACCGCCATTTCGTATTTCCGGATTCGCAACACGTTCTGTCATTCCTCGAGCATGACTCTGCGACAGTTGCTGCGGCGAAGCATCGGACATTTACCTCAACCATTGAGTGTATCTGGCACCAACAATGCTCTAGCGCCGACGTACATGAAAGCTAAGCTCTCCGTCTTTGCAAACATCATGTCCCTGCGAGTCTTCGTGTAAGCCTTCGTTGACGGACATATGGTTGTGCACCGCGACCAAAAAGATGTCGTTCGGTCTCAGACGTCGTGCATGATTGTCTCGCCTCATGCTCCATCGGCACTAGCAGGCAGTTACACACAGCATGTGGCTGTATGTAAACTTTCGCCCGTCATCACAGATATGGATGACAACATGTCATGGTGGGGAGACCCCCGGACACCGAGGGACACTGAATGCAGCCCAGGGATCGACGCAGCCTCGGCAGGAAGCAAAAAGAAGTTGCATGTGGCTGAGTCGAGCCTTCATGCCACAGGTCCGTACAAGAGCCTCGCAAAAACCGGCGACGAGCGGCGACGAAAAGCGAGTCCGCAACACCACCAACCCACTTTAGGACGTTTCACGTGATTTCCTCACTCGAAAAGTGCGCATAGTTTATTTCGTCGGATCAGTCGCGCGTGCGCCTTTCCACGTAACTTTCCTTCCCTGTAATTCCAGTGCTCCTTAGTGCTGTAGTTTCATTACTACAGCATTTATGGCCGAGCCTGAGAGACTTCCTTTGGAGATCCTCCAAGCAGGTGGCAAAATCCCAACTTCCACTTCCGCCCTCGTCGACCCGACCCTGTCTCAGGTTTGTTCGTTCGTTGATACAATTGCTCACATGCAAATGAATGCGGCCCTACGCGACGGGATTACGGCTGACGAAATGCAGTCACCAACCATCAAGAATGCAAAACGTTCCTCGACAGAATTGTGCCCGTCACTGCACTTGCGATAACCCGCAGCGACCTTATATCCCTGCACAGTCCAACTAACACGGATATAGCAAAGGAGGAGAGGAACATGACACTGTCGAGGATCTTGATCAGAATAACAAGGGAGACACAGCAGACCAAAGGTACAGAAATAAATGGTTATCTAAGAGCTGCGAGGATTGCTACATTCGAGACCCAATATCGGGATCTGATGGAAATCATGACGAGGAATACTCAGCGGCGGGTCAAAAATGGAGAGCCATGCGCCGGCTGCTGTGAGCAAGCCAACACCGCCAATATCCTGGCCCACGCCAGCAGAAAATCCCAGTCGCCGTTCTCGAGTGACCTGTTGCATGCAGCGGCTTAGTCTGGCAGTTGTAGGTAGCACCGCGATCAGCTATCCTCCTCAGCTTAGTTTCGAAGATTATGCCAGAGGTCGGACACTCATGATGGAAGCCTGGTTTTTGAGGTCGACAAGATGAGGTGAGATTTCTTGTTGGAAGTACCATCCCCGGCTGAACGAGCACCGGGGCCAAACAGCACTCGATCTCGCACATGAAAGGAGAGGCCGTGAAGCGCCAAGCGCGAGCACTTGCTTGTAGTAGTGATTCGCGAAGTTTACGGTCTGTCAGGATACTTTTTTTTTCTCTCATCGAGGCATCACTCCCCAGTGCAATCCCTTGAAGACGATTTGTGAGACTTTGCCACTCCCTCTATGACCGCGACTTCGTGACCCGCACTGGTGCGAAAGCAACTTATAACCGCTATACGACCCCTATTTTCGCCGCGAGCGAAGCCATGTCACTTATCGCGATGTTGATGTTGTTTAATTGAGGTGCAATTTCTTGCTTAGCTCGAGATCTCGCAGATTCGCGCTTGTTGGAGGTCTTTTTAACAGACCGGAACGGATATCGTCGATCGGCTGATAGGCGACCAAGTGGTGAGTGGTGTCGCCAAATCCAAGTGAGGCAGTGACTTTGCGTAGTGCTAATGGAACAGCCATGAACGTATGGAGACCCTCTTCATTTCCGATAAAGGTCCAATCGAGATGATTATCCCATGTTTTGAACCCTGATGCGTTCTCCTCGTATATATATACATTCCCAGCTTGAGCCAGACAGACCAGTTCTTGACGGTACCGTTTTCGAGGAAGATGGTTTAGACAGCCCTCCAAACAAGCTTCTATTAGTAGTAGAGCGTCCGCCACCGATGCTATCAAACATCGAAAGGTAGGGCTGATTTGGCAGTCCATTTTCAGGTGGATTAAGTTGAGCAGCGATCATATCACTTCGCTCAAGGTAGGTAGAGCAAGGGAGTATGTCAGGTAGGGACAGGTGACCAAGAAGTATTGACAGATAGTCTTCCCTACACCCAGCCACCCCACAGTCGTAGCACACCCACCATTGGCGAGCGCCTTGGTTCTGTTCTCATCACACGAGCTCCGTACAGCACTCTGCTTCTTCGCAGCTAGTCGGCAAGCTCGATTAGTGAAGGGGATCTTACATTTGGAAACAATCCAAGCGCTGCTGCTTGGTCTGAGACGTTCGGCTCCTGTTTCTTGTCTGCCGAACCTGGAATTTTTGCTTACATCTTTTCGCGATGTACAGAGTACACATCAGACCGCCAGTTCACGTTCTCACATGTTGTGGCATGTCATACAGTAACACAAAGTTCTCTTGATCCACTCATTTGCCTATCCTTGTTTGGCTCTAGGCAAGAAACACTGATTGGCTGTGGCAAACCGGGCTCATGGTTACCGCGCCTCCAATTTGAGAGTCGGGTTCAACACGTCAACCTCAAGGTTCACATCCGGGCTACCGTTGCAGACTCTATAGGCACATTCAACATGCTGGTTCTTGCCTACAACCACCTTGAAAGCACGCTGCTGTGTTGAAGTCGTACTGTAAGCGCCGGTGGATTCAGTTGCAGTTTTCTATGGCATACTCTTTGTGTTCGCGATGTCTACTGAGTCTGCATTCTTGAGCTGTCTTGAAAACCTCGTCCCGTCCAAGGTGGAGTGATTATCATGAGCATGATGCAAAGATTCGCCGACTCACCTTCTGGTACATTATAGCAGAGAAGGGTGGCCGCTGTTAAGAGACTGCTGTACTCACGAGCTTATCTTCCGTTTATCCCTCAGATGAATCGTGGTTTTACACTATAATATTGAGCTTGCATGTTTCCGCTTGCTTCGGTGCTGGCGCAGTACATCAAGCAGCTTATACATCTCAAACGACATCCCCGCAAAACCCGAGCGTGTTATCCTTATCGGCAGCCGAAAGTCTAGTCCACTGTGGTTGTGGAGTGGGGTGTCAGACGTGTATGACGGGAAGCATGCGGAGCGGTGTTCCCGCCCAGTGATTATGTCTTTCTTTCGCTCACCAGCTACGTTCAGTGATTCTGGCAATATGCCTAACAATGCCAAAAGCTTCGCTGAAACACCAGACTTCTTGTCCAAACTGGAGACGATAGAGGCTCTGGTCCAGGACGTCAAACACAAATTAGCTGAACACTGTCTGTTGGCCAACGTCTCGGAGACAGTCCCCAAAGACAACGAGGCAAGTGAAGTAGACACGATCACAACCACTCGCACAGGCCCGACTCACCGCTACACTCACCGATGCCGAAACCCATTACACGCTGAGGGCATGGTACGGGCCCAGGAGTACAGTAATCGCTTGCAAAATTCCACTAGCGAAGGCTTCTCAACTGTATTGGGTCCAACCCATGACAGATCTACGACTTACCCTTGGGTCGACCTAGCGATCTTGCCCTCCAGGTCAACCCTAAAACTTACGGAGTTATGTGACCTGGTCCCTTGTGACGCCGGTTGCTTTCAACTGTTCCGACAGTATCGAGATAGCGCGCATATCCTGTATCCAGGTGTCGTCGATATTGATGGGTTTGAAACTGATTTGACCCAATTTCTTGTCTGTCGATCTATACAACGGAGGGAGACGAGTGCTTTCATGGATGGATCTTCGACGATCTACGGCAAAAGTTTGCATTGGCTTGGTCTCCTCTTTTCATGTTTGGCGTCAGGCTGTCAAAGTCTGCCAATTCGACTGGAAGAACAATACTTAACTCCGCAAGTATACGGTGTGTACTCCAGCCAGCCCCTGGGGACTCCCAGCTATTTCAGGAACAGTTACTAATATGATCTAGTACGGTGTGCGTATGAATGTTTGGTCGCTGTCGACTACCTTTCATGCCCGACAATGCTCGATATCCAGAGCCTCTTGGTTTCGGCCGATTCTATTGCTGTGACAAACCATGCAGGGGAGGCGTGGTCGTTACTAGGCAAGTAAACATGAGATTCTCGTCTTGACGGCATTCTTATACGTTGCAGGGCTCACATCCCGACTGGCACAAATGATCGATCTTCAAAAGCCGTTTCAATCATCTATATCTCTGACTGAAACCCTCCTACGAGAGGAGATCTGGTGCGTGTGGCCTGCTTCTAAATAGGACGGAAGCGCGTGCTCACTATCTCCAGGTGGAAAATCCTGTGGCAGGATACCTTCCTGTCCATGACCTATGGTCGACCACCATTAAACTCGGGAATGCCTGCGCAAAGCCCCCATCACACGCAAAACTTAGGTGGCGAAGGGTTTTCGTACATTGAATGCATGAAGCTGCTCTGCAAAACAGCTCGCGATATCCTTCAGCACCGGTCACTCCGTCCAAGACGCAGCCGTCCGCTTCCAGAAATACTTGAACTTCACAACCGATTATTCGACATATCGGGACAGGCGATAATCTATCTAAAAGTGCTTACTGCGTGCCGATCACACAGAGACCAGATAGAACACTGGAATTTCCTTCTTCACATGTCATATACGTCAGCCGAATTGCTCCGTCCTCGAGTGGAGGGGGGCGACCTCGACATAGGACAAACGTTTGACTTACGGAGCCTGCGTGTCGGTCACCTGACTGACGTCGTGGACGCTTTTCTCGGCCTCCAAAACGTGATGCCGACGGTGAAAACTTCGCAGGTAGCTGTGCAGAAGGCTCTAAGCTGTGCACTTATACTCGGCAAGATGCGAGAACTTTCAGATAGCCCGGCAATTAGAGCAATTCTGGAAAGATTTACGACTCTTCTGTCAAGAGACCAAGCGGATCTCAGGCCATCGGAGTCATGAAGTCATGGAGTCATCTATTAACGTCGATCGCGTCTGTTGCAAAACCTTCCCTTTGCCAGACATTACAGGGTCCAATATCAAAATCTGTCTAAGCCTACAGAGGATTAAGATTCAACTTGACGCCTGTTTTAGAGACGACCGAGATACTCAAATGGGAGGTAGAGACCAATTGTGAAACCTGCTATAGCACGGGATCAGCCGATCAGGCAAGACGCTCGTGCTCACTGAATTTGCGAACGAGCTCAACATATGGCGCATCAATCTGAACCATCACCGTCACACCCGGACGAGCGGCCAGCATCTCCCCGCGAACGCAATTTCGCCTCGCTCCAAGAAGGAGAGGCTAGGGAGACTAGGGAGACGGGAGATCATGCCAAGCGCAAAGGTCCGCGAAGAAGTGTTCATGACGTCGTCGAGCACATGCACGGCGAGGCGACGATCAGGCCATCTCACTCTCGAGCTGCAGTTCCCATTCGGGGACATCCAAATCGAGGGGGAGGATGAAGAAGAGAGGGGACCGCCCCTGCAAACCTTGCTCGAGCTGGTCAGCGACCAACGACGGATTGTTCATCACTCCCGCGCTGGAGCTCGGTCCGGAAGTCGATGGTCTTATGGTAATCAGAAACTCACTTTCTTTTTGTCCCGTCTTAGCCTAGTGGCTCACGGTGGTGAGGTCGGCATCAAACTATCGGACGACATGGACATATCTTTCGAGGTTGGTGAGGGACGGATCAACCAGGTGGGGCGTGGTCTAGAGCTCGGCTCCACCCAGATGCCCTTCAGGGTCTTGGCCCTTGACTTGATTGAAATCCCGCTGGAAGAAGAAAGGAAAACCAGATGCATGATATGCAGCTTGTGCTTGAGACCAGTCCCATCCCTTCGGTCCCCAAGTGCCCCAGCACGCTGGTAGCTGCGGACGCACGTGGCGCCCTATGGGTGGGCTTTCGTGCACATCCTCTCGCATCCGCAAAATGCCTCGTGGCAGACTAACCAACGTACTATGTTGCGCCAATTTTCACAGATCGCGTGTGGAAGCGAGCCAATTCCCCACCCGTCGTATACCAGAAATCGAATTGTTGGAAAGGTATCGCACGGCCTGCGAATGCACCGTGACTGCTCGACATTCCTCCGTGATCCAACAGACTTTGCCACAATTACGACGTTGGGTAGTCTCACAGCTCTTCTTTCATGAGCTTGGAACTTGCCCCTTACGAACGTCATTCTTTGCGTGAACCAGGGCCATTTCCTGCATCGTTTTGGCCCTGGGCTCGGTGGCCCCTCTCGTGTCTTTTCATGTTGCTCCTCACACTGAAGCACTTTCCGCAGCTGGCGTAATTGCACCGGTAGGGCTTCTCTCCCGTGTGGGAATGTGTATGAATTTTGAGGGAGCTTGGTCTAGAAAATGGTTTGTTATAGTTCGGGTAAATATATCGCTCTTGCGGCTGCGGGTAAGCTGGGGGATTTGCAGGCGGGTAACAGTGGTGATGCTGCCAGGTGGGCGCCATTTGCGGTTCAATCGGAGGCAAGCTCGAACCAGCTATGGGCGACGGGAAATTGGTGAGCAAAGGTCTCTGCTGTGTGAGGCTGTTGTATGCCGTCGCGTCGGATGACGGATCGCGAAATGGTGCGAGTGGGTGACCTCGAATAGGTCCATCGAGCTGTATATCGTCCGATACTGGCTTTGTACGTGCCAAGGCCGACTAAGGTACATCCGCAATCGGAGGATATAGCTGTGGCGGTCCGTCGGTCTTAAGGGGAGAATATATAGACGTTGGTTGACCATACCGGTCTGGATTTGCACTCATAGAAATAAGCAGGTCGTTATGGATACGACTAGGTGCATCGGTTAGCGAATAGACCGCAGGTGACGGTCGAGCATACCCAACTTTTGGCGAGTATTTCGTGGGAGACAGCCGCGGAAAGTCGAAATCCGACGCTGGAGGCAGCTCTGGTGAGGGGAGAGGAGGATGGCGTGGACTTTTTGAAACATGCAGCCTGTTAGGGCTTGTGTTGAGTCCTTGAGAACTCCCCGATATTCTGCGCGGAGGATAACCGACCACAGGCGAAAGCTCATTGTCTTTTTCTGCGTTCCGTTAGCTTAGCCGGCCATGACCTTTCTGGCAGACTTACGCTTTTGAGCCTGCCCTGATACGGCGCCTATCAGAGTGGCGATTAAGGGCAGCGTTGGCTTGGCCTTGTTTACGTCGTCCATGCCTGCGGTCGCAATCGGGATTGCGGGATACGGCGAAGGGCTGTGCTTGGTTCGATTCGAATGATGACTTGGTGGTAGCACCAATGCTATATTACATATAGTTATGGGCGCAGCAGGTCAATGCATCGAGGAGGACAGAAGATGGACATTTGGACCAGAAAACACGACAGTGTTCGAAGGTGTGCCAGTAGCTGACCAACCAGGTATTACACAGGTCTCGACTCGAGTGCGTTCTCCGACGAGCGAGCGAATTTCGAGTCCACAGTGACGGAGGTGCTAGAAATTCCGACAGGGCCTGCTATTTTACTCTGCGTGGGTCCGCGACAATTGACCAGGGAGTCCTTTCCGAGGGAGGTATATGCAAGTCAGCCAACAGGCACAGGGGGGGTTTCTTGCGGTGAGTAGGTATGGAAAGTATTCTCTAGCGGGGAAAGTCGAAGGATTAAGGGAACTTCTTAAGTGCAAAGATGGCTCAGAAGTTGTCGGCAGGTGGAAACGAGCCTTATGACGCTGCAAAGGAGCAATGCTGGATTCAGTAAGGAACGGCCTCGGATGACAGCAGGTTGACAAGTCGCTTAATGAAAGAAAGACTAGGAGACGGGACCTGGTCGGAATGGGCCACAAGTGGACCAAGGTGCTGCCGAACCGAAGAGTCGAGAGGTACAGATCGTCGCGAAAGTGAAGGCCGTTCTTCAGGCGGGGCCGGCTGGCCACGGAATCTGGCTAGTGCTTGAACACGCTGGTCCAATGCATTGGCCGTTCGTCGTCCAGCAGCCCGTCGATCGGTCTGATGCAAGTGTGAGATGTGCAGGCCTAGTGGGAGATGTGGGCGAGGGGTGAGTTTAAAGCCGCCGCCGTCCGGCCGTTGGCAGAAAAAGTGTGCCGCCCGGATGGAGACCCATCGAATAACGTACAGACGCCGCCCAGGCCATAGATGGATTCGCATACGTTCACATCCGGCTCTAGCGCCCAGCAAAAAGTGATATGCATTACTGGGCCACTACCGTCCTGGCTCTAGGTCCCGAATGTTCGGTGGTGGGCGCTTGGTGCATATGGTCAGAAAGCCAGTGCCGTGAAGGCTATGACAGGCTCTACGATGGCAAAATCAGGGTTCCGAGGATGGGGACCCCGACTCACAGGTTCCCCGGTCTAAGCGATCTCGTCCGAGTGCGGTCAAGCCATGCGATGATATTCCGGATGCGGGTATGGGGTTTATCACGCTTCGATGACACATGGGCGATGACCCGGGTCGATGAGACGAGCGTGGCCGAAGACCGCGTGCAAAATCACGGCTAAAAAGTAGCTCCGCGAGGTGATTCGGCACTGGAAGAGATGGTGAAGACACGTTAAGGATCTTGCTGAACGAGGGGGGCCACACTGCAGGAAGGAGAGCTTGAGCTGCCGAATGATGTAGGTGACGGGGAATGCAGGAACGAAAAAGAATAGTCAGGAGGAAGAAATGTGGTTGGTGTCGACGGCCCACCAGTGACGCCGACAGTTGGGACGATAGGCAGAAGGTGGTGGGCATTATTCGCCTCGAACGAGCAAGCAGTTGAAGGTAGGGATGTGGCAGAGGATCGACGTCCAAGTCGAGACGAGAGTCGACGACCAAGAGGGACCGGACACTAGTTGTGTTCTTGACATCCATGTCACACAAGCAACAATACGAATGACGTGCAGTAGCCCCCTTTCCTAGCTTCCTTTTCTCCACTACACTTGCTAATTCTTCACATAGTCGTCTATCGTGGTTTCCCGCTACTCTATGTGGTAAATTGTCCAAATCATCGACCGGGATGAATCCAAGGAGGAGCATCACCATATGTTGGACAGTAGGCGAAGGGGCAGCAATTGATGCAGCGCAACACCACTGACAGCACCGTATCTGCCTAACGACCTCGTGGTCTGGCTCCCCTTTTCCACCTACCCTCACTGGCATAGACCCTGGGTCAATCGTCAAAGCCCCTGCATCCCCTCCGAGCATCACTTTAGGGGCCGCCCGATACTTTATGTGCGACGCTCTACTACGGATGTAGTCGGATATCTTTTCCTTTGTTGCTGGGTGTCAAAAATTTACGAGGCGTCCGTCGGATCTACGAGGTACCCACCAAAACTCTTTCATGTGGCAGCCATCCCTGCAAATCCCGTACCCCTGGACAGGCCGATTTCGTAGTCCTGTCGAATGCACAGCAGGACACCACCAATTTACTGCACCCACCATTCCTGTGCTTTTCTTCCTCCTGTGTACACTCTCTTTTAAGGACCGCCCTCGCTAGCAGTTTCTCCTTTACCGTCTTAAGAAGTAGTCCAGCTCTAGGCTGCAGCAACAACAGCCCGTCTCAGCTCTCGGCGAGTCAGGAAAGGTGACCCAGATCGGTGATTGCAGTCATGGCGCAAATCCAAGCCGGGTTGGCGTTCCGCTCCTCGACTTGCCTGACCGGGTAACGTGGCCTGTTTGTCGCAGCGGCGGTTTTCTGAGCTCCATGTGGGTGCCGGTGAATTCTACTGCAGGTCTCTCTCAAAAACCTGACAACTTGCATACTATGTACGGATACGTGCCCAGCAGATTGGCTGCTCACACGTTCAGACGCATCACCCGTGCGACCTCTAGTCTTAGTAACGACAATATTAATACCACTTTTATATTGCTCTCCGGGATGACTTGACTCAACACCAAGTAGTTTTCTTACCGGAGTGGAATATCCTGTGGTGCCTTTCCTGATCATCTCTGCTGTCCTAGCGTAATATTTATACAGTAGCTTGCAGGTCAAACTTGCACCTGAGCAAAAGTACGAGCAAGAGCAACCTCGGACTGAAGGTACTGCAGCAACAAGCGACACTGTCAGTAGATACGATAAAGATACGGATGATATGGAGGTTCGACGCAGGAATTGGTATTTGGACTGCCACTGATGGATACTTCAACTTATCTTCGATGGAGCGCCAGACCAGGGACCTTTTTCGTCCCTGCTGCTATCGTTGATCCTTAGCCCCAGGACTGCTCATGCTTCCCAAGATTTCACTAAGACGTGATCGAACCTCCTCGAGCGAGGCCTCGCTACGAATATACTGGAACAAATCGTCTATCTAACCGACTTTAGCGCTATAAAGAACCTAGAAAAGGTTCTATAGAAATTTCTTAACGTCGTTCGGCCTTAAATACGAATAGTCCAGAGGATTATATCTACGGTTACGATAGCTTACGTCGCTTATGATACAAGTCTTCCCGAGTTCGGTGCATTTAGTATAGGTGGTGATGCTGCCTTTCGAGGTGCTTGAACGCTTATAGCTTTATTAGCTTCGCTTCGTGCAATATGTACGATGATATTATTAACCCTTGAATGTAGTTGCCTAACCTAGGTACTTAATTATATCTTAATCTTGCTAAGAGAATAGTGATAGCGTCTTTAAGATGCTAACTTAGGTCGACTGAATGGTTAAGAATTGGGATGCTAATAAGAATAAGGATAAGAATAAGGATAAGAAGAATGTATATAGGCTCGCTAAGCTTAGAAAATTCAAGTGATTATATAACTCGGGAAATATTACCCGACGAACCACCCGACGAATCAGACTGGACTGGAATATTGGATCGTTTCTGAGACTCTTTCTGAAATATAGAAGCGCGCGGGAGAACGATCCGTGAAGCTATACATTATGTCGTGAATTGTATCTGCGAGTACGTAGGGTTGGTTATACGCTTTGAGGATATTATCATTGCTCTATTTATGCTGCTTTGCCTTCTTTTCCACTATTATGGTCAGGTCACAGATGCGGCAGAAATAGTCGTCGGCTTCGTAGGAAAGGCTACACGATGCAAGTTGCTTTGGAGATAGCTTAGGCTATAATCGTTGTAATGGGTAGGTCGCTAGACGTCCTGAAATGCTGTTGAGCATGGATTATTGTGACGCGTCAGCCCGTGTTGGGGAATTGTTTCGACTTTGCTGTCGCGGACTCTGTTGCGGCACAGAACGGTGCGTATCGATTTTTCGTGGAGGCTCCTGACGTCAGGTGTTCCTTCTCCGGCGTTATACAATGAAGGTTGTGCCACATGGCAATCATTTATGCACCTGGTTCTCTTGATCTTTCCTTGATCGATCCTTGTCCTTACGACGCAGCGACGCTTGGCAGGTGCCTTTTGAGCCTGACGATTACCTCAGCAAGGGCGTGGCCGGTACTATGGCAAGAAACAAGACGTCATGTTATTCCAGAGAGCTCGGAACAACAAGCACATCATTGCAGCGCAGTTGGCTCTGGGGGAAAGCCCCTGGAATCGTGCGCAACTCCCTCCTTCACAGCTGTTGCACTTTTTCGGCCAGCATCGGTAGGATGATCCTGGTGACTGCGTAGACCTAGAGCCAATCGTCCTAAACTTTTGCGATGAACGCGATCCTCGATCTCCATACCTGCAACACGCCCCATCAGGTGTATGCAACAGCTACCGCTGCGATGCAGAACTTTCCTGCAATGTGGAAAGTAACTCGTGTGTGCTCGATACATCGTAAGCCCTAACCGGAAGCGAGGAGGAATGGGATGAGGCAGAAAATTTATTCTCTGTCCAGGACGAGATTGCGAATACAGGAGAGACGTTTAAGACAAACACCATTTTCGCGGGTATTTGACGATGATGATCCGGTCAGAGGCATAAGATGAGGAGAATGGACACGTACTGGCGAGCGAGGCAGTGGAGATTATCTTGGTCGAGATAGGTCAACTAGAGGCAGAACAAGACATTACAACATGAGTCGTATGCGCAAATCACGATTGGACCAAGTATGACCCGCAAACGCAGGCATTGAATGCTGCGTGCGATCAAAAAGCGCAATTTGGCTTCAACAGTCTTGAATACTCGTAAAGGCATAGAAGACGACAATAATAGGCCGAGGCTTTTCACAACAGTTTTCGTGTCGCTTGCGGCTGCGATTGCCAGGTTCGAAAGCGAATCCAGTCTTCGGTAGCACCAACCCAACCACCATCCACGTGAATCTCCTCGAACGGTACCGCACGCCCTCGCTTGCCGAAAGCAGTTTTGAGCAGTGCCACTTTGTTGCCGCAAGGACTTCTTTCAAGCACGCAAAATCTGAAACCTTGCGTGGTCCATGATTCGTACACAGCCGCTGGTGGCCCTGTCGCCGCTGGCACCGTGCCCACAAAGGTGTCCGCCAGGTTCATCCGCACATTTCGATCTTAGCATCTCGATACTCGAATGGTTGGGGAACTTGGTTGAAGAATTTTGTTTAATCACGATAAATGCTTTTGGCCATCGATACCTCTCTAGGGATGATCCTTGTGGTCAGCAAGGTTGTCTGACGCTCAGACCTCGTAAACTTTTGACCAAAACGCAGTCATCGCATTTGACGAGCTTCTCGAGGCCCTGGACCCGGTCTCGCAGGTGACGAATCTCGTCTGTCATATGGCGCATTTCAAGTTCCGACGAGTGGACGTACTGTATAGCTCGCATCATAATGTCGCTCTTCCGAACTCTCCTGGCCGGATGCGACTGTTGCGAGATGGAACTCCGCCATCGTGGATTGGCTTCAATTGCTTGTAAGGTGTGATGAAGTTGGGTGATTTTGCCATTCAGATTATCTCGATATCTACGTTCGACCACGGAATGATTGTGTTTAGCTCGAGCGCTCGCCGAGTCTTCGCCGTCACTGGACGACGGAGATCGACTGGTCTTTCTATGAGCTTGGAGATTGGAGGATGGCTTCTCGTCCCGAGATTGAGCTCTGTGCTTGCTGCTGCACCTTGAAGAGGTCTTTCTCTGTATCTCGCTGGTGCCTAGCAGTCGTTTATATTCCTCGTTATCGGCCGGATTCAAGGTATTGAGCGAATTGGCGGTCCCTTCAGCAGGAGGTCCGCTGTCAAGACTTAGAAGACCAGGGGCGACTGTGTCTTGTGTTGGCGACTCCACCGGTGCTTGTCGAGGGACCATCCGAGAAGATGAGAGACCCTGGTGTGTGGCAAGGCTGAGTTGTGGTTGTGTTGATGCAATAAAGTCGACCAGGTCAGGGTTCTTAGGCGGCGCAACCGAATTACTGCCATCGAGATGGTCGAAAGATAAAGTCACCGGAAAATCGGGATATGGTTCCGATTGAGCAGGCCAGGCATCAAGGCTTGTTGGTGCCCGCAAGCCAACTTCATTTTGGAAAGGTTGGAACATGCTTTCATCGTAAGACTGTCAATTCATAGTTAGCACCGTTGACAATAGTTGCTTGATAAGCGAACCCATATTCCAAAGTCCACGAAGGACGATATATCATAATCTGTGTTCATATCAGAATACTCCATACTGGGCCGCGTGAGTCCAAAATATCGCTGTTCGTCTGCGGAAGGTCGACTTGGAGAATGCTGCTCATTATTATACTAGCAAACGGGGGCCGGGCTGGAGCCCTTGACTTGAAATGCCATGAAGCTCCACGCATAAAATTCATAGATCAGTTGCCTGAACGATGTGGAGACTGTGAGGCAAGCATTGCATCTGCGGAGGTCCAGAATTGTTAAGCGGTATTGCTGACCTGTGTTCAGCAATCACTTCCCCCCTAATGTTCTTTCTGATGGAGGCCAGACTCTTTTAGACCTCATGCGCAAAGCCCCGCTCATCCGAGGTATTTGCGCCCTCCATTTTTGGGATGGGTCTGATTGGCACCGTATTCCTAATGGCCCTAACCTCCGGGGCAAGTTCGTCCTTCGCTCGGAGAGCCGCCGACGGATGACGGGTTCCTGATTGTCAAGCGCCGTATGTTCCATCACCATCAGCCAGTCACAGCGACGGCACGTCAACCCGCCTAGGAAGGGGAAACACTTCCATTCGTCGCATGGTATTCTGTGGATCCTACGCATGCCGAGGTAGATGACCTGATCTTACGTGAAGACTGGCACAAGTCCAACCTATCCAGTCTTCAGACCGTGCAACGCAGTGACACCACAGGTTTCCTCCGTATTTCCCAACGATTCACAATTGTTTGTGATGCAGTTAAGAAATATGGCAACAACCTAGACGAATCAAAGTTCCGTAGCGACATACACCCCTGCTTGTTCCAGGCCTGGTCTACGTTATGCTAATCGAAATGATGTAAATCAGGTCTTCATTAGGTGGCTGCCAATTCGGGACCGTTCTTCAATCCTCCGTCCGCAAGTAGTAAAATCGGCTAGAACGAAGCGATACGGCTTACTTGAAGCTCTTAGCCACAGAGGCACGCAAACCTGGTTTCCACCAAACATACGTTGGGAAAGATTCTTTGTCCATATGTGGAGCGCCAGTGGATCGCTATTGGCTAGGTCGATGAATGCTGAGCACGGCTGTTACCAATCATGTCAAGTGTAAGATGCGCATCACCTCTCATTATATAATCACAAATACCATACGGTCTTGGACACGAACGATCCGCTTTTCGGGTCTCTCCATAACCCGTTACATACATTGCTTAGGGCGCAGATCACCATGACCTCATCAGGGTGAGAAAGATCAGGGGGGCAAGTCGGAAAGTGTGGAAAATCGAAAATAGGATGCTTGGGCCAAGAAGTTTTTGCTGCATGTGGCCTTTCGTCCTGCCCATTCGGCAACGGGCATGCGTGGCCAGGGAAGAGGCATGGGGAAAAGGTGGCCAAAAAGGCAAGAGAGGCATGAGGATGCAAAGAGTGGAGGAGACGCCGGAACAATGTGCCAACTCTGGTTACTGAGTAGCTAACACTGTGTACAGACTATAAGTAGTGGTAGAGTGTCTTCTAGCAGACAGTACATTGAAAAAGCCATGGATTTGCTATTCGAATCAGATGGACTTTGATGCGGTTCATTGGATATATTTATGTCATTGTGCAAAATGGGCATCAGACGGTGCCGGTCCCCTCGCCTATCTCGCAGTGTCCGCCGGGTCTCGACTCGAAGCAGCCCTCGGAATTTTGCAACGGAGATCAAGTTCCAAACCCTTCTCATTGGGCCACCCACCTAGATTGCTGAACCTGCCTCCTCACACTTTCCCTTATCCTCACTCTCTCCGACTGCCTCTGAATCAACCTCCCGCTCTTAACAAGCCAATGGTCTCTTGGCCTATTCTTCGCCCCACCAACCCATATCGTCAGCCTATGGTTGGAAGAAAGGCCCATGGCCATGGGGCCACGATCGACTGCCTTAGTTACTGGTGGCGGCGGCCTGGGCTATCATTCTAACACGCGGCAGAGGGTGGCTAGTTGTGAGGACCGCATCGTCTTTTAGAGGCTCGTACGCTGGAGAAGGCGGTGCTATCCGTTTGCGATTCCACCTTTCGCCCCACTATTACTTTCCCCGTTTGAGCCGTACATCCCTTTGGCCTCGTCAGATTGCCAATGATGTCAACAGCTCAGAATTGAGACTTTGATCAAAGACCGATATTGCCTCGGTAAACTTCGATTTAGATGTCGCTTTTTGTTCTATTGATATACTCCGTCGTGCGCTTGGAACCCCGGCCCTTATTGCAACTACACATCGGCTCTGTAATGAAAATGCCCAGGCCAAAGTCTGAATCCGATGGAAATGGTGGTGGAGATGGGTCGAAACGGCGAACACGTCGTGCCTGTGACCGTTGCAGACTCAAAAAAGCAAAAGCAAGCGATTGCTTCTTCCTGACGGATTGAGGGCTAACCAGAAGACAGTGTTGATGGAGCTATGAAATGCCGTACATGCAAGGCGAGTGGTAGTGTCCGTTCATACACTGCAACGAGGGGACGTGAGGCCAGGGCCTAGTGAGTACATCCCACCTTGTGCGGTCTGAAAGCGGGACGACTGACAACTCTCATCAGCTACTGTCAGATGAGGGAGGTCATGGATGATGCACTCCAACGATTATATTGGGCTTGCCGGCGAAAGGCAAGCTTCCCAGGAGATGTTCCTGATGAGTCAACTGGCGTGGTTACCACGGATGCCATTCTCAGAGGCCTTCACTTGTCGGGACCGACACTCGACGGCCCCAAACAACCAGACCGACCCGGAGGAAGTCATGAACACGACAGCCGAGGTCACCAAACGATAACACCTCCAGCCGAACCAGATTCTATTCGTAGCGATTCTGCCACCTCAATCTCGCAATCGTCCTTAGCCAGTCCATCAAAGTACAGTCAACGACCCCTGGCTAGCCCCTTCCTACCTTCACCGTCGCCGAGCGAACTGAACTTCAGTCTCAATACAGACATGCCTCCTTCAACGGTGCGACTGACGCCTCAAGCATCGGCGTGTAGGCCTATCCACACAATTGCTAGGCTCCAACCAGACACAGACATTCCAACTCACGGCAATCATGGCGTCGATCCATACCTAGATCTGGAAGCTTTTCATGACGCAACTTCGTGCACTGGCCCTACCGAATGCCAAACAGCCGAAGTGTTTGCTGGAGCGATGCATTGGGACAGCGGTTCGACCACACCGCCACATTTCCTTGACCAGTCAAGCCTGCCAGGGGCGGTTTGTGATAGCCGCCTCGCTCCATGGACTGGATCGTTGGCAGTAACTTATCAGTCGGTAGCTTGCAGTTTGGTTGGAATAATGGATGGATGACGCGAAGGAGTTTACGACTAGTCGGGGTGGATTTCAAATCCGAGAGACTTACCCGTCATTGCTTACGGCCATGTGGTATTGGGTTATGGAAGGCTACCTGTCGTTTATCATGGTTCCTGGGTAGCTATCTGTGCAATCGCTTATGTCACGAATCAACGGCCATTCACAGCCCCTTTCATGCAGAAATTATTCCGTCGTTTGGGGACATCTTTGTGCTCCCAGCTACGGGCCATCCAGGTGATCCTACCATAGGGAGCTCATGAGATTTAAGGACATCAGAGGTTCTCCAATTCATAGGTGGCACAGAGTCTCGGGTGACTGCGTGAATGCCGGTTTCTTTCCGTCGCGATAATCCAGATTGTTTTCAAGGTGGTGGGACGTTGTGGAAATTCCTGCTGAGGCGACCTTCCCACATCAACTGTGAGCGACAGTAGACACAAGCGCCTGATCGTGCTTTAATGTTGCAAATGCGGCCTGGTCTCTCACTTCCGCGGGCGGGAACACGTCGAGAAGGGTTGAGCATAGTAAAGTCTTCACTCTAAGCTATCACCACTTCGCACAGCCATTCCAATAAGCTTCGGCCGAAGGTAACAGAGCACACTCTTTGTACATGCAAAGTGGCACCCATATACAGTGGAAGGACGAGGGAATGAGACGGAATGAGCGATTGCGACCTTAGTCACCACGGAGGCGCAGACGCTAGCCGCCAGGGAGGCTGGCTTCGAGCATTGCACGCATCGCGGAACTGTTAGGTTGCGTAGCCTATGCCTTCGCATCTGCTCTAACCGCCAGGCCATATAGCACCGACACGAACCTTAAGTACGATCATCAGTACGGGTGGACCCAGTTCGACTTCGGAGTCAATCGAATTGTCCGTAAGGATATATTTACAGGACAACCTTGGCCGAACCAATCTCGAAAATTCGTGGACTCCTAAGTGAGATCTAAGGATGGCGGGGGCCTACGCGGCTAGGGGATTAGGTCGTCGAGTACATCGTCGAACCCTGTGGTAAGCTATGCTTTATAGGTTGGACTCATCGAGGAATCAAATACTATTACCTACTTCCGGTAACCTACCGTTATAAGCACTTAATCCCAGTAGAATATAATATATACGATAAGTACGACGATGACTAGGGGAAATACTTTTATTGATGCGCTACTAGGAGACTATAATCTAACTACGATATAAACAAAGTAGAGGCGAGGGATAGGATCAAAGAAGCGCTATCAAACATCAATAGCACGGAGAAATTGACGACGTGTCCTTTACTTCGGGCTGGTGGCTTTAGGACATCTGGTCATGAAGTCAGTGACACGGCGCGATGAGCTCGCCGCGTGGGAAAATGTCGTCGGTTTTGCAGATGGAAGGTGCTGGCGTATGGAACAATTTCCCTACGGTCATCGTTAAAGGCGTGACTATGCAGGCAGCCACAGACCTCCAACGAAGATATCGGCCCCTCCTATACCCTGTCAAATCATCGATGTTTTCTCTCTGACCCATTAAAGACCACATCTATCCATTTTCTATCGGACGGAAACACTTTGAGTGTTTGTCCTGCAACGGAGTCACAGTATCTCACCACTTGGCTTGTGGATTCGCATACCATTCACAATTTTTCCAGACCGCGACCTGGACGACTCCGCAGTGATCATCGGCTTATGAGCCTTCTTATAAGTTGCCGATAATCCAGTGGTAAACCTACCGGACTTAATGAATCTGTCTTTGACCTCTTCAGGTGTTGATGCGTAATCGGCATCAGAGGCAAACAGCTTCGAAAAGTAACGGTCAAAGTCCATCAGCTCCTCGGCTGTCATGTGTCGCTCGTTCACAGAAGGCCCGAGGAGAGGTGAATCTGCCTTCCCCCGAAAGCACGATGTTGGCCAGTCCGGCTCGTCACATTACATCCAATTGTTCCAATCACCATGTTGTGAGTGCTCACGTAAGGAATGGGTTTGCAATGCGTGAGGGAAAATGTTAGAGGTGTTGCATCATATGTTTGCCAAGAAGCCGGGGGACCCAACTGTCTGCTTCTCATGTGATGTCACATGTCACGTAGTCTCGGCGCTTATGTAGACTGCGACGGCCCACTTCGCATGCAACCACATGATACTGCCTAACCCTTCCCTATCTCGAGCACCCGTGGCACCTCGAGACAGTGTAACCGCTCGGAAGACCACAAATCAGTCACTGAAGCTGCTACAAGAGCAAGTTCATCTACCCGCTCCCATCTGCGCAGTGCTCAACTGACCCACCAAAGGGAAACGCTCTCCAAGAATTACCAAGAAGCAAAATCTTCTTCAACGGATGGCCCGTTCGGAACACTTGCTTGAGATTCATAAGATTCAGCAAAATACCGGCCAGCAGCCTCTGCCCTCTCCAGCCAGCGACGTTCAACTTCTGAAGGTAAGCCGCCAACGTTCTTTTGTGATGGAAGACTGACCCAATAAAGAGTACACACACACCACCTACTCCCCTACCATCCAAGGCCCGGAAGCGGAAACGAGAGAGTGAACACCAACTCAAACCATCCTCCTCGAAAAGACCGCGAACATCTTGTGTTACGCCCCCGGTTCAGAGCGTTGATTTTGTTACATGTTGGACTCAGACATACCACTGGCCGCGAGAATACTTCAACGAAAGAGGCGAAATGAACCATTTATTACCGAGAGAGGAATCCACCGCTTCGCTTTGTCGAAAACGATCGGATAGCGAGTCGAATACGCCCGCTTCAACAATACCAAGTGACCAGAAGCCTAGGGAAGAGAAGAGTGCTCCGTATCAAGAACCATGCTACAGGTCGCTTCTTGAGGCCACAGGGAGCCTTATGGGCAAATACGTCGGCCGGAATGAAGAAAGTCCCACAGCAGAAATAGCAAGAAAGATTATAAGTCTTTGCTCGAAGCCGAGCAGGCAGTTGACGAGTATTCCTTATTTCAGGACGATTTCTTCGAAAACACCTGCGAGATGATCCAGGACAGAAAAGAAGCAAAGATCCTTCAGGACATTGGAAGACTCATTGTGCCTTATGCGCAATTCATTAGTTGTTCGAGGGGCAAAGCATCTAAGGTTTCTCATTGAAAGCGTGAATGACGGTTGGAATGATGCCATTCCTATCACCAAGCCACGACCTCAACCAGATTATTTTGTAGGCTTTCAAACGCCCGGCATCTACGGAGGACCAACTGAAGAAACTTCAGCCGTTTGTAGGCGAACTTACTCACACCTTCTTCATGGGGACATGGTTCATGTACTTCCCCTTCTTCTCGGGCGAAGTGAAGTGCGGGTGCGGCCGCCCTCGATGGTGGCCGATCGACAAAATGCACACAATATGACTCTCGCTGTTCGAGGAGTCGTGACACTGTTCCGGCCTGGGAAGCGTGAGAAAGAGCTGCATCGGGAGATTCTTGCTTTTTCTGTCTCGCACGACAACCGATCCGTCAGGATTTATGGCCATTATCCTGTGTTTGAGGGCAAAAGGAGCACGTTCTACCGTCACTCCATCCATGAAGAGGAACCAGTCTCCAACAACACGCATATACTCTTTCGCCACCTATCGCATTGTCAGCTCAAACTTTCACCATCTAGCATACGAGTCAACCTATTCTCCAGGCGGCCTTATGGTCATGCGCACAACGAAAGCCTTTCGCGATGGTTGACACAACTAGCTCCACGATCGCCTTGCCACTACCCGTTCGTCTAGTGCGACTCTGATGATGTGGGACTTCCGCCCGATGGACTCTGGGACAATGACGCAGCGTACGGGCAGAGATTCTGTTACGACCACGGGGATACGAGTATTTATTGGGAACTATGAATCGGTGGATGCGCTTGAGTGATTTTGACTTACCGACCAAGAGATCTCCAATTAGTGATGTGAGAAAGCTGCCATAGGACTTCTGTAGGTTATGATCAATGCCGAGATTTTTTGACGGGTAACAAGGCTGATCGTTCCCTGGTTCTGTTAAAATCTACAATCTCCTCTGTAAAGAGCATCCTGCCTCCGTCTACGAGTCCTAGGCCCGGATGTTTCGGTGGGTTTAGCTTTTGGTGCCAGGACCACGAACCAACGCGATCGCACGGCAGCTTTAGATCGGTCGGGAAATCGATCGAAGATCCACGACCACGACTTGCCCAGACGCCTCCATCGTGTTAAGTCATTATCCTCTTCTGCCGTCTACTGACCTCGCTTCGTTCGCCGTACTCCCCGTTTACCCTCACTCGGACAATAGTCGCTGCTCGTGTCTGGATTGGGTGACTATCTCCCTCTCCTTCTAGCCCGGTCTCGTCTCGGATTATTTATCCCATTAATACGTCGCGAAATCGTGGCCGTAAGGAGTCAACAATGGTCGATAAGCGCCTTAACCGAGATGTTGGCTAGGCTAGCCGGCCGAACACCGTATCCAAGGGCCCAAGCCGTAGGTGAGTGGAAGATATTCTGAAGGTCAGCCGGACTGTCGATGATGGCGGTGATGAAGGTAGCGTCGGCCGCCGTTATAGGTTAGACGCTTATACCCTTCAATCCTTCGTGGTGCTGCTCGTGCTTGTGGTGGCTATTCGTAGATTCGTCGATATCTAGCGACGTAGTAGGAGTTAGGGAGGGCTCGCTCGGGGTAAGATTAGGTACCGTTTCTTCTTCGTAGTTTGAATTTACGCTACGACCAACGAGGGTCTGCTCGCTGTCCGGCCTATAGGCGGCATTAGGTATTCTAACTACTACTGGAAGAGTTCCGTACTGATTTTCCGTTCGACGGGTTTAAGCGGTAGAGTCTTCTGCCGATGTTCGATGATAGACCGACGGCGTCTTATTGGATTTAGCTTCTATACGCTATCGACGGGAATCTGGGGAGTGAGAATCAGATCCACTCCTATATCGTCGTTTACGGCCAATGAGATATTTATTACGCCCGCTTGGTGGCGGAGATGCTGTCTATCCTCGAACCTCGTTCGGTGTTTTAACGACGTTCGTAAGTTAAACGCTGGAAGTACTTCGTTTAACTTTGATAGAGGGACACCGAGAAGGAATCATTACCTCTACCCGGGGTTCGTGACGCGAGGACGGTAGGTAGCAGCGCTACGAAGACAGTACCCCTATTAGCTTTAGCTAAGGATTGTTTAACTGAGTAGTAAGGTCTATAGCGTTAACATCGGTCCCTAGGCTAGGGGTTCCGGCACGGGAAAGTTCGTCGCCTGATGAGGTGATGATAAGGTCGTCGCGAGTCTCTATACCCTGTAAGGTATTGTTCTGGGCACGGCCGTTAGGATTTTCGGTATATACAGCAGTTCGTAAGGGCTCCATATCCGGCAGTCCACCAAAAAATAGACTCTATAAATTGTCGTCGAGACCTTTAGCCAAACCATTGTCGTCGGTCTAGGCGAGAGAGAAGTTGTCGTAGAGGGAAATAGCTCCTAAAATACGCTCATCAGCCTTAGCCTAGGCGTCGTGCAGAGAGCTGCGCCACATTTCGTGAATCGAGGTTTCGTGCTATCGGCCCTCTAGGCTTATCAGCTCTAGAGTTGAGCTGTCAATGAACGCGCCGTCGGTATAACTAGAGTAGCACGGGGCCGTTTAGACTTACCAGAATGGCTTATAGAGGTCGTATGAGAGTGTTCCCGCGGCCGTATATTAGACACCTATGTTACGGCCTGCGGCTAAACCTCATGAGGGCATTCTCGGATGGAAGAAGCCCCGGAGCTGGCCGGTGTGGTACGCACAAGTCGCTGAGGGCGGACCCGAGGTCTGGAAGGGTCCTCGAAGATAATGTTGTCTATACGGAGAAGGCGTGGAAATTAGGTGGTGTGTAGAGATTTTGTGTGTTGTTAAGGCTGGGAGACTGTGGAGGCCGAAGGAGAGAGGGGACCCGGTAGGAAACATTGGAATAGCCCCCTGATATAGGTCTTACGGGCGTCCCTGACGCTCAAAGGGGGTTGCGTCGCTCGATGGCCAATTTGAGGAGCGATTTCAAATCTAACGACGAATTAGGAAAGGAAGGCGCCGCGTCTGAAAAGCCCGCGCCAGCACGCAAATCTCGCCCTTGTGGTCAAACACTGCCTGGGCCACCCCTGGTTGGGTCAAAAGCCATACATCTGCCGTCGTCAGCTTTCCCTAGCAGTACGCTCCGTACGTCGAAGGGGCTATTACAGCGGTGAAAAGCTCCTAAATGTCCCGAAAGGTTTCGTCCAGAAAATACGCAACCAAGGTCTCTCAAGACCGATTACGTACGGCGGATCCATAGAACAGGCAGAATACATGGTCAGAAACCTAAAGGGATCCTAGTTCCGGGCCGAATCCAGCTGATCATCCTCCTCTACCAAGGGGCGGTGTATCGCGGTGTCTCACCATATCGTTTAACGGTCAAGCCGAAAAGCTCTGAACCCCGAGCGCTACGGATATCTTCGGATCCTCTAGGGCGGCTGATATACTCTAAGGGCTAATTGAGGGTGTGGTCCTTAAGTGTACTGTATATACGAAGGTTATACGGATCTAAATATTGCTAAGGTACCCGTGGCGAGGGATATTTGACTAAAACTTAGCGAATAATAAGATCGAGCAAGGAAGGGTGATTCGACCCTTGTTGGAGCCTAACTACCGCTAGCCCGTAAGTCCCGATCACCGCGTCCCGTAAATCCTAGTTACTATCGTTATTGTAGCCGTCTTTTCCGTTAAGAGGGGCCCTACAATGTAACCCCCTATGCAAGTTATAGCCAAAGTTTCTCGAGCCGGAGAGGTGCGGAAGGTTAGCTTAGTCTAAGGAGAAGGAGCCAGTACCTCTTCTAGGATATATAATCACTAGGCGGCTCTATAAGAGATAGGTCGGTGTAGTGCTTAGTTACTCGCTGTGCTAGGTCGGCGCTACGTAGTCTTCGATTATAACGCTATAGATGCGTACCCCGCGAGTATAGAGTGAGGAGGGTTCATAAAAAGCGTCATTGAAATCACTAGGTCCAGAATCCGAGGGACCCTTTATAGAGAAAACCTAAGGCGGGTATTCGGTTAGACGTCCCAATTGTAAGTAGCTCCGGTCATCATTCTCTACCGACTTTGGGCAAGGTATATCCTAGGCACGTAAGGACCCTTGGCTAGCTAAAAGATAGAGCGATAGAAGCAGGCACTCGGCCCCTAAGGGACGACGATAAGTGGGACGATAGAGTCTAGGACCTTATGCGCTGAGAGGTAGAGAGGGGGGCAGAAGAAGAAGAGAGGCTAGTCAACCGACGGAGCGTTTACCTGATCGATCGATTCGAATTAGGCAGACGCTTCTTAGCTCGGAGCTCTTAATGTCTCGGGTCTGACTCTGGGTGGATAGGTAATTTTAGGTCATTCGTTTGCAGAGCGATAGCGGGGCAAGGGCCCTAGCGACAGCGAAGCCAACATCCGGGCTCCCGTGCTGGGTGACATTTCCCGTTTTCGGAATGGTGTAGGGTCGACGTCAAGGACGAAGGATAGGAGAGGGGGAAAGTCGACAAAACGGCGAGGGACGACGGTCTTTTATAGATGGACGGTCGAGCGTGGTCGGAGGCAAAGCGGCGGCAGGCCCGATGGGTCAGCACTAAACCCGGACGGGCGGCGCTTTCCCCGAACGGGTGGAGGCCAAACCGGATGGAGGGTATCAAAGCGGCGCCATACCGTATCGACGCTAGCGCGAGGCCTCTACACCACAACACAGATTATTTCTTATATAGTTATTTATTAAAATATATATTTATAGCTATTAAAGGATAGTATTAATAAAAGAGCGTTAAATAGTATCGAGATAAATTTATATCGATTTCTTTAGTACTCGAATACTTTTAGCTAGCGTCGCTTAGTATAGATAACTACTCGATTATATATACTAGTACTAAACCTAAATAGAATAAATTTTAGTAGAGCTATATATCTTCTATCTAATATTCTTTTCTCTCTCTTTATAAATTTTTTTCTCTTTTTTTTTCTTTATTACTTTTAGCTAATAATTTTATATTTTTCTATCCTTTCTTATTTAGAACGCTAATACCTTAAATAAAATAAATAATATAAAAGAAAATATTGATAAACTATTATAAAGAAATTTTAGTTTATTTTCCTTTTATTACGAAATACTAAATATATCGCGAAACTACTATTTAACGATTACTTCTTTTTATTTTTCTCTTTATTTATAACGGAAAATCTTAAACTCTAGATCTTCTTTTTTTCTCTCTTTAGTAATACTTAATTTAATTTCTTTATAAGATCTTTCTCTTTAATAATGAAATCTAGATTACTTAGAGACTCGTAAAATCTTTATAACGATCTTATATTATAGGAATAATCTATCGTAAAGTATATTAATCGATTTTTCTTTCTTCTCTTTTATACTATTTCTTTCTTTATTCGATTTTTCTTCTTATGTTTTTTTATTGTTATCCTTTATTGTATCTTTATCTTCTAGCGATATAGTTTATTAATAAAACTTCTTAAGTTTATTTTTTATAATTATTTTTTGTAACTTTACTTTATTTAATTTTACTAGTAAATATATTCTTTTACGTAAAATACTTTTTATAACTTAATAAAGGCTATTTTAATGGAAAATAAACTTTATATTTCTTAACTTATTAATTCTTTTTTACTTATTATATAATAATATAAAATCTTTATTTTTAATTTTATCTCGATAAATATAGCGCGTAGTATTAAAATATATCTTCCTTTCTTCTCTAGTATATTAAGTATATAGTCTTATTTTAATTAAATTTTTTTTATAGCGCTTTAAAATTCGCGTATATATAATATATAAATTAATAATATTTAAAATCTTATTCTATCTTATAATACTTTATATTATTAAGTTTAGTTTAATTAATAATATTAATTTTCGTATATACTTAAATTTATATAATATTATATTTATTTCTTATTATTTTAGTAATCGCTCTCGCTAATATTTAACTTTCTTTATTATTAATTTATAGTCTAA